GGCACTCCCTGCTCCTGATTCCCTCCCCTTCAACAATAACCACGTAAAGCCCTGCAGAGGCAGACTCAAAGGAGTTTTCCTCAGCTTTAAAGAGGAAAATTGGAGGAGCTGAATGTGCTGGATACTACAAACAGAACTTGCTGCTTTCTGGAAAGGCTGTTGGATATTCTGCTTCTGGAGGAAGGGAAAAGTTAGACTGGAGTGGGAGTCAGAGAGCAAAAGGCTCATACAAAAGTTCTGAACCTTTCTCAGTGCTGAACCTTGCAGGTATTCAGGGCCCAGAGATCTTCCAGCCTTTTAGGAGAGGTAATGGCATGGGAAGGAGACTTAGGTACAAAATTCCATATCCATGTGTAAAGCTGCCAATGTAAAAACATGGGATCTTATCAGCTGGAGCTGATGGGAAGGGAACTTCAGCATCATTCCTGGTCCTGGAAATGGTTTAACCTCCTAAACCTGAGCACCAGACATCCTCAGAAGGATGTGTCTGACCAAGATCAGTCTCCTGCCCAGGGAGCTGCTGGCTGGGAGAGGCTGGGAGGGATCATTTCCCTGTGGAAAATTCCCTGCCCATGGGAATTTCTGGCACGGGACTAGCCGGCTGTCAGCTGCCCGATGGCGGGAAGGGGCCACGTGGGATGTGTGTCGCAGAAAAGAGATGAGAGGTGCTCATTCTCCCAGATCTTTGTGTCTTGGCTGCTGCTGGAAGCCACAATGTTCCCTGCTCCCTGTCTCCCAGCACAGCTGATTTATTCTGCCCTGTGCTCCAGGAGGTATCCCAAACACGCCGCCACAGAGCCAAGAGAGTGGATCCTGAAACTGGAGCCACAGCCTGAGACTTCAGTAAACAGGATGGGGGGAACATGAAGCACAGAGTCCAGCCAGTGCTGGGATTGCTGTGAAACAACCCAACAGAGCAGTGCTCCCAGAAACCCATCTCCCAGAAATCCCAGTGCCTGTGCTTTGCTCCCACCCGTGGCCAAGGGTTTTACGGGGAGGTGATTTGATATCTATGTTCTTGGCGAGTTTTTCTTCATTCTCAGCTATGACCTGACTTTATTTTTACAGAGCCTGAGCCCAAAGATCATTTTGAATACCTGATTTAAACCCCCAAAACTGTAGAATTTGGCTGGGACAGGTGGTAGAAGAACCTTTCCCTGATATCCCCCTGTGCTGGAGTTGATCTCAGGTGTGGATTGAGATGCAAGCTGGGAGCTGGACACAGCTACTTCGGGTGCCAGGGAATATTTATCAGCCAGAAGTGTTCCAACTGCTGTTCACCCAGGCCTGTGCTTATCTCCACAATTATTTTGCTCTCCCTTCCACTAATTGCAGCTATTCAAAATATCTCCTATAAACACCTAGGAGCCAGTCTGAGCTGGGAGGGGCAGGAAGGATCTCTGTGCTTGGCTTCTTGTTTGGCAGCTGTGGAAGCTTGTTTAGTTGTGGAAGTCTGAATGCAACTGGTCTCCATGAAATCCATCCTGGTTGTCTCTGGGAAATGGGATCTTGGTGTCAGCACTTCACTCTTCCTGGGAGGGCACTGCAGAGATGAACGAGAACCATTTTAACTGCATTTCCCTTAAAAAGAGGTTTCTCTGTGACAATTTCCCTACTGATAAGGTGTCAGTCCCCCTCCCAGGCAGACAAGCTGGAGCACTGAAGACAATTGAGGAATGTGGTGGCAAAATCCTCTGGATCATTGAGTCCTCATGGTAGGCTGACGGTTGATAAATACCTGGAAATGCTCTGCATTCTCCCTGTTACCTTTATTAATATTAATTTATGCTAAAGGAGCACCAGCAACACTAAATGCAGGTACAGTTGAACATTTGTGCAGTTTTCAGAAATAGTGGGAGCAGTGACATTAAACATATGCAGGAATCCCCATAGTTATGAATATTTACAAATATTGATTTTGGCAAGAGCACCTAATTCAGATGTTCTGAGCTCCCTAATGCAGTGTGTGTGTGTCTGTCACACGGTGCTCCTCAGACTCTGGGCTGAGTTAGTCTCAGATCCAGGGATTTCCCTCACTGAATCACTTTGTAATGAAATTTCAGTGTTTGGGAGATACAGTTGGGGAATAAGCCCCCTTCCCCAGCTGTGTGTGATGAACACACAGGGTCTGAGTGGGCAGTGCCTGTTCAAATTTGCCTCGATTGCTTTAAATGAACCAGAAACGGATGTTTTTCCTGACACCCAACAATCCCAGCCTGTGCATCCCTGGGAGTGGTGTCCAAATGCTCCTGGAGCTCTGGCAGCTTTGGGGCCGTGCCCATTCCCTGGGGAGCCTGGGCAGTGCCAGCACCCTCTGGGGGAAGAACCTTTCCCTGTTCTCCAGCCTGAATTTCTGTTTCCCCATAACATTCCTGGTAAGTGCGGAGAAATAGCCCTGAGAAGACACCCGGATGGGTTTTCTTTTTTTTTGTTTTCCCAGGCTACAGCAGACACCAACAGTGATTTCTTTTTGTTTTTCATGGGTACAATCGGAGACGTGGCTTCATTATTTTATTTTTTAAATTTGTTGGGTTTTTTTTCAACTTTGAAACCATTTGAAAAACTATATTAAGAATAGGCTTTGTGGAAACTGGGGTCAAAATGAGCAGAGACAATACATCCCTAATGAAACTTCCCTAAACCATCCAGCGACAAATTGGGCTTTTCATTCCCGTTTCACTCCAGATGTCAGTGAAAGCACAGCTCCTTCTAAAGCAGCCTAATGTATGTAAACCATCGCAGGAAGCAGAGCCTGCAGAGCCTAGGAGACTGCAGATGGAGAGAAAAGGCTCCTGATTCCATAAAAATAACAAAACCTGTTTTACCATATTGTGCATTAAATATTGTTCATTTGCATACTTTCCATGGCGAGGTTCTCAAAGCCCACCATGTGGTGGACTTGTTGGAAGTTGGGAAAGAGACTCCTTCCCCAAATGGAGACGTGTCAGTAGAAGCTGCTGCTTAATTAGAAAACAAAAATAGCTAGTTTCCTCTATTTTTTTCCTCCTTTTCTAGTTGGTTTTTTTTTTGGTTTTTTTTCAGTGTGGATTTTTGGTTATTTGCATATAATTCAATAGAATTAGGAGGGGAAGCATAGGTGCATTCACTGCAGAATAACTGTATTTCTGGTGTTTCACAACAGCCTGCCTGCTTGGAACAGGCAGCAGCAGGGATTCCTCCATGGAGAGTTTCCAGCAGATAGCCAGGCAGATTGTAAATACCTCTTAGATTGTTTTTTTGCATCTTTATATAGAATGGTGGGATTTTATTCATATTTATTGTGCATCTGTGGCTGAAGCATTGGGCGGTGCAAGCGTGTAATGCCACAAATTAATCAGAGGAGCATAGAATATCCAGAGCTGGAAGGGGCTCACAAGGATCATCAAGTCCAACTCCTGGCCCTGCACAGGACACCCCAAGAATCTCAACCAAAGGGATTAAAAGGAAAATATGCTCAAGGAGAAGGAAAAACTTCGGGGCGGGAGCTGGCAGGGTTTGGAGAAGGGTGGATTGAGATGTTGGAGAGAACAGGTTCCCTGTTAACAGCCATGGCTTGGACCCTGCCTGTAGCAGGGGCTTGGAACGGGGTGATCTTTGGGGTCCCTTCCAACCCAAACCACGGCACAATTCCGTGCTCTGCCTCGGGGATGCTGCGGGAGCCGTGGGTGGTATCCGAGCACAGGCCCCCATTAAGCGCAGCCCCAGAGAGCTTGGCGCTTTGAGGCTGGAGGCTGCCAGCTCCCGATCAATCCCTCGGTTTATAAGCTGCCAACGTAAAGAGTGCGGGGTGGGCGCTGTGCTCCAGAGGCTCCAGAGGCTCCGGAGGTCTCCGGAGGGCCCTGGCATTCCAGGGGTTTGCGGGAGGCCCAGGAGCGGCCTATGCGCTCGGCCCGGCCCGCGCCGTGCTGGCAGGGTGCAAATCAAACTGGGGGGTGGGAAACCATCCTTCCAGCTCTGCTTTCCCAAGAAAAATCCCTTTTTAGCCACATGGAGATCCCTTTGCTCCTCTGCAGGCGGCTGGGATGTGTTGTTTGTCACCTGCTTTTCTGCAACCTCACAGGATACGGGGTTTTTCCTCACGCGTCAGGTTGACACCCTTGGTCCCATGGGAATCCCCTCTGCTCCCAAACAGGGGGCTCCATTCCATGGGAATCCCTTCTGCTCCCAAACAGGGGGCTCCATCCTATGGGAACCCCTCTGCTCCCAAACAGGGGGCTCCATCCTATGGGAATCCCTCTGCTCCCAAAAAGGGGGCTCCATCCTATGGGAATCCCCTCTGCTCCCAGACAGGGTGCTCTGGGCTGGGAGAATCCCTCTGCTCCCAGACAAGGGGTTCCATCCCATGGGAATCCCCTCTGCTCCCAGACAAGGGGCTCTGGGCTGGGGGATGCACCCCAAATTTTCCAGGAGGTTGATGGGGACACTGACACCTCCCAGCTGCTGGGATTTGGGGAGCCCAGGAGGAACTTGTACTGGGGCAAGGAGGCTTTTGTGCTTCCAATCTTGACTGTCCCATCTGATGGAAGGTTTGCAAACAATTACCTGGATTAGACATTGTGCCTCCTGATTGTTCCCATGATTATGGGTGAGTTGAGAGGGCTGGGGAAAATCCTTCCTGAAGAAAATGTTGGGGGAATTATTTTTTTTTATCTGTTGCCACAATTCTTTTTACAGTTAATCACAGAATCTCGGCATGGTTTGAGTTAGATGGGACCTTAAATTCTATCTCGTTCCACTTCCACTATCCCAGGTTGCTCCAAGCCTGGCCTGGAACACTTCTAAGGATGGGGCAGCCACAATTTCTCTGTGCAACAAATAATATCGAGGGTGCCCTAGTGGGGTTTCATTTAAAATCAGGTGGTGGAGATAAAAGGAGGCTCGTGCTTGTCCTTCGTTCCATGAATGAAGCACTGTCGTTGTCACCTGTCTGCAGCCTCTGCTTTGGCTCTGGCAAGGCAGTGGTGTTAATTTGCTCCTTTTCCCTGTTCCCTTCTCCACAGCAGCAGCAGGAGATGCTGGCCATGAAGCATCAGCAGGAGCTCTTGGAGCACCAGAGGAAGTTGGAGCAGCACCGACAGGAGCAGGAGCTGGAGAAGCAGCACCGAGAGCAGAAACTGCAGCAGCTGAAAAACAAAGAGAAAGGGAAAGAGAGTAAGTGGCCAAAGCACCAGTCCTTTGGGTAGTGACAGGCTGATGGGAGCCATGAAGGAGCCTCAGAAAGCTGGAGGAACCTCCTTGAGGGCACGGGGAGCTTGTTGGAATTGAGGGGAAGAGAGAAATGCAATTCTCTGCTTTATCTTCATTTCTGTCTTACTAAATGCCATTTTAGCGTTTTTCAAAAGGAAGCGTATCCTCTCTTCCCTTGATTTAACATTTTTTGAAGTATTTTTGGCAGCATTCCTAATGGAGGCAGAATATTAAGCCCATAAAATACACCAGATGCACGCTGCACTCCTTTTCTGTTTCTGCTGCTCTGAATTTCACTCAGATTTTTAAGACATAGCTGAGTTCTCAGCTCCCCCCTTTTTGAAACATTTCCATTCATGAGGGGATTTTTTTCAGGAGGTTACAGCTTGTGGATGCCTTCCCCACTGTGTGTCATTATGCACTTGAGGAGATCATTGTGGCCTCACAATGTCCCCTATCAGAGACACTCGGGGCTGCTTGTTCGTGCTTTTTCTGTAAGTGAATGGGGGTGAAATACCTCAAAATACCTCTCCAAGTTGTGCCATCAACTCCTCAGGTCTGGTTTCACCATGGGAAAAGTGGTGGCAGGAAGATGGGATGCTGGCTGGGAACTGGGAATAAGATAAAGCTCCAGGAGGTTTTTCAGTAGGAAAAAAAATGTCTGGAAGATGTTGTTTAAGTGCTAGAAAGACCAGAGGTTCAGAATCCCTAAGCATTTCTCCTTCCTCCTGCTGCTCCCATCAGCTGTTGATGCTTGATCCATGTTTTGCTGGGCCTCTCCTCAGAACTGATACCTGGCCATACTTGTTAAAGTAATCTGAAAAGAAATTAAAGCTCCTAAATCTCTGGAAAATGGGAGCAAAGCATCTTTTGGGTGAAACACAGAGGTGTAGAGGAAAAAAACTCAGAATTTGGGGATGTTAAGTTGAAGATCTTGTTCCCATGGCTACAGTTTTATTTTTAAATTACTTTTTATTTAAGAAGTGCTGTGGTGTAGAATCATTATCACACCTCAGTTCTTAAAGATACTTAAGTTATTTTTCTCACATCGCAAAATTTGGCAAAGAGAAGCTAAAATTGTCCTGATCTGAAATATGAAGAGAGTGTGAGAGGTGGAGCTTGTTCTCCTTCCTTGTTAACACCTCTGCTCTAGAGCCAGGCTGGGAGGGCTGGGGGTGCTCACCTGGAGAAGAGAAGGCTAAAGGGTCTCCAGGAGAGATGGAGAGGGACTGGGGACAAGGGATGGAGGGACAGGACCCAGGGAATGGCTCCCAGTGCCAGAGGGCAGGGCTGGATGGGAGACTGGGAAGGAATTGTTCCCTGTGAGGGTGGGCAGGCCCTGGCACAGGGTGCCCAGAGCAGCTGGGGCTGCCCCTGGATCCCTGGCAGTGTCCAAGGCCAGGTTGGACACTGGGGCTTGGAGCAGCCTGGGACAGTGGAAGGTGTCCCTGCCCATGACAGAATTAGATGATCTTTAGGGTCCCTCCCAGTCCAAAGCTCACTGAGGTTCTAAGATATCTTTCAGCTTCCAGTAAAGGAGGTAAACCTTACACTCAAAAATATTGAACTGCAAGTCTTCTAAGGAACAGATTTATGCCAAAGTGCAGAACACAGCCAGGTTTGAGTGTTCTAAGGATGCTAATGGATTAAGGATGACACATTTTGGAGGGAAAATGCTTTCAAGCATGGATTTGTCACCTCACCTCACCTCAGGAATTCATCTCCAGCTCTTTGCTTGACCTTTCCACCAAACCTGTGTTTGTGGAGCTGGTGAGAAATGCAGGGCTCAAAAAAAAAGGGGATTTTCTCACTCCAGAGTTTGAACCATTTTACACCTCCAGGCAATGCCTTGTGGGAATGCTGCAGCTCCCTGCTCCTGGGGAGAGCCCAGAAACTGTTCTCGAAACACATCAAATGTCACCTCATCATTGAGCAGGGCACAGGACACGAGAACATGGTGGGGTCATCTTTTAGTTCTTGTTCCCAGTGGAGCATGCAGCTTCCCTGGCCTTTTCCTTTCCTCCCAGCCCAGATATTTTCCGTTGGAGCTCCTGCCTTACGCCACGGTGTGGATGAACCATCATTTTCCACGTGTCCCCTTGCCAAACCTGGGATGCATTGCTCCGTCAGGAGCCCTGCCTGGGAGTCTGGGCTGTCAACCCGATGATCACTGGGATCCATCATGGCAGGGGAACAGCCTGCTCTCCATTGTGCAGGGAATCATGATTAGGGATTACACAGTTGACATTTTAGCTCTGCAGAATGACTGACTCTCTTTTTTAAAATTTATTTATTTTTTTTTTAATGTTAGGTTTTCTGTTTGAAGCAAGAGATCCGCGCTCTTGTAAATGAAGCGAAATGTTACGTTGGTTGTGGTGTGTGCAGAGACTTGGGAACAAAGAGGTCCCTGTTTACAGGAGTTTTCAAGACAAAACCTACACATGAGCCACTGGGCTCATTCCCCTTCTGCTTTTAGATGTGACATTTAACAACTTGAGGGTACACAAGACTCCTTTTCTTAAATAACTTTGGTTCAAAGAGAGCTGGGATACCCCAGACAAGTGCTTTATTCTGAGTGTGCTTCTATGAAAGTGTAACATCCTCTTCTGGAGAAATAAACCAAATTTCATCTGTGTTCTCAAACATAACTTGTGAATCTATGCCAAGCTAAAGGGATAAAAAGGGAGAGCTCCTTACTGGAGGCACTTTGTTCTCTCTTTGAAAGCAAAGTTCTGTTTTTTTGGACTGGAAATGAAAGATTTGATTTGAGGTCTATTTTAGAAATTTAAAATTCCTTCAAGTATGTGAATTGATTTAATAACCATTTTTAATGTGGTTTTTTTTCTTTTTTTAAATTTTTTTATTGCAGGTGCAGTGGCAAGCACAGAAGTGAAGATGAAGTTGCAGGAATTTGTGTTAAACAAGAAGAAGGCTCTGGCCCACCGGAATCTCAACCACTGCATATCCAGCGACCCTCGCTTCTGGTACGGGTAAGTGGTGCTGGGCTTGCTGCAGGGTTCAGCCAGTGCTGCCTTTGTCCCCAATTCCCTGAGGGAATAGACCTGATGTGCTTGTGGGATAAGCCAGAGCAGTGACAGGAACACTGTGCATTCCTAAAATGCGTTTTCCAGAGGGTTCCAGTGTGAGTGGTTTGTGTCTGCTTTGATGGTCACAGTGATCTGTGTGTAGAGAGAGGTCTTTGTGTCATCTTTAATCCACAATTATTCAAACTCACAAGTTCTACAGCCAGAGATCAGCTTTTATAAGTCCTCCAGCTTTTCACCCAGGATTTGATCCTGCTTGATGTTATAAAACTTGAACTTTAGTCAAATGAGGAATATTTTTTTATGTTCAGGAGCTGGAATTTGATGATCCTTGTGGGTCCCTTCCAACTCAGGATATTCTATGATTCAGAGAATTCCTGCAGCTCAGTATAGTTAAGCTTTTCATTTTAAAGCTTTTAAACACTTTACTGCTCTTCTTAATCTCTCAAAGTTGGAAGTTTTGTTTACTTGGCTCTTACTGGAAACATCCAGTGGGTCCAGTCTGCATTTTAATCACAACTGCCCCAACATCTCCATTTTCAACTGGAAGTATTCAACTGTTGGTCTCCAGTTTCAATTACAGAAATTAACTTGTACTAAAGACAATCAGAAAATTTGATGTGACTTGAAAGGTTCCACTGCAGTGGCTTTGTCACTGTCTATATTAAATAAAAAACCAAAGTGCTTTGGATGTTTGCTTTAGTGACCTTAAAATTCATGAAATTTTGAGTTACAAAGGTCATTTAATTTCACCATGAAATTTGTGTTCAAGCTGAGGCACTGACAGTGTTTTAAGTCGTAAGTAATGAACGTGTGTACAGGGAGGATGAGGTCATAGCCAGAAGATGTTTCCAGATTCCAGAAACTGAGCTGCAATGAAATTTGAAAGCTATCCCAGCTATGAGCCAGGACAGAAATACTGAAGTGGATTTGGCAGAAGAAGTCAGATGTTATTGGAGGCAAAGTGAGATTGAGCAGCTTTAATACATCTCTGAAAATCTAATCTGAGACTTGGGGATTTCATTAAAGGTGGTTGAAGATCCTGATCCTCCATTTCTTTAAAAGTTGGTTAAAATAGCAGTTAATGCAGGAGTTGTACAAGGTCAGTTAGAATTCAGGTGCCCAGAGAAGCTGTGGCTGCCCATGGATCCCTGGAAGTTCCAAGGCCAGGCTGGATGGGGCTTGGAGCAGCCTGGGACAGTGGGGGGTGTCCCTGCCATGGCAGGGGTGGCATTGGGTGGGCTTTAAGGTCCCTTCCCACCCAGACCATCCTGGGATTCTCTGTGATGCAAGGCCAGGGCTGCTGCAGGGTTTTAGCTGCAGGGGTTTCAGGATGTTCCCTCAGCTGATGCTAAGAACTTCCTGAGCACCAGTGTGTGGTTTGGGTTTGTTGTGACACTTATTCATCCAAACACCCCTTCCATGTGATGCTCCAGGGGTGCCAAGAGGCAGAGACAACACACAAACCATTGCACAAGGATTTCAGGTTGTGCCATCCCCTCATTTTCCATCTGTTTAGTGGTGGGATGAGGATTGGTGTCCTGGACTCGAACCCAAGATGGACAAAGCCTTGGGGCCTCACAGCTCTTTCTCAGTGCTGAATTGTCCTGCTGAGCCCTTGAGGAAGGCAAATGGCAGCAGCACAGGAATTTTTAAATGCACCTTTCACTTGTTAAGGCAGAAGTTGAGGATTTTTTTCTTTCCATCCTTTTTAAAATAAAAAATATTTTTCCTCTTTTTATTTTTTTTTTTTTTTTTTTGTCAAAAGGAGAATCAACCTTTAAATTCTTGCCATATTAGTATTTATTTGTGTGGCATCTCATAGGTTACCAGCTGAGCTCTGGAGACATTCCTGCCCCCACATAGCTGTGCTGTGATGCAGTTGGGTGGTGGTTGGGTTGAGCACACGCGAGGGGAGCTTGCAGGAGATCCACTCCACGCTCCCACTGTGAGCAGGCGAGGCAATTAAGTGGTAACAGATGCTGGGAGAGCCTCTCGAAGCAACACGCCTGCTTTTAAGCACTTCCCTTGGTCTTATTAAGGTTTGTGAATTCCTTTTTTTTAAAAAAAGTGAAAAAGGAAGGCGTTGCTTGGAAAAAAAAAAGTCTCCTAAGGGTACTGAGCACGACTGACGTCAGTGGATGTGACAGGAAAAATGTTCTGCTGGCACAGAACCACAGAGGTATTAGAGCTGGAAAAGACTTGTAGGATGCTGTCCCATCCCTGTGTTTAAGGCCAGGTTGGACAAGGCTTGGAGCAACCTGGGATGGTGGAAGGGGGTGGTGAACAAGATGGTCTTTAATGTCCCTTCCAGCCCAGACCACTCTGGGATTTTATGATAGGCAAGAGCAGAGGAGGCTCTTTGGGGCTGCATTGTCAGACTGTCCCTCCCCTGGATTCTGAACCCACTGTGCAGCCCACCACCCAAGAATTTCAGCTCTCCGTGATTCCCCTGGGAAGATGTCAGCAGTGCTTGGGAAGCAGCCATGGAAGGGAGTTTCGTGTGATGGTGAGGTAGAGAGGTACAATTTTTCTTTAAATTCCACATTATACATTGAATGATCCCAACATCCACAGGTGTGAACACAAAACTTTCCAGCATGGGTACCCATGTCTGAAAATATATGCTGAACATGATTGAAGGATTAAATATCAAAATCATGGAATCATTAAGGTTGGAAAAGACCTCCAAGATCATCACTCCCACCTTTCTGCCTGATGTTTGAAGGAGCTCAGGGAATAGGGGATGCCTTGAAGAGGAGATGTGCTTTCAGGAATGCCTGCAAGCTCCATGCAGTGTCCAATTTCCTCTTCCCAGAGCTCTGACATTCCTAAAGGGGCATGCAGACCAGTGCATGCTGCTGGAAGCAGCGTCAGACCCCAGTCCTGGAGCCAGGGAATGTATTCCTGTTTGCAGAGCTCAATATCTGTCATTCAGCAGCCCTGGAGCATATCTAAACAGGCCCTTTGAATTCCTGCACATTTCCTGACAAAGGGATGAAAATAGCTTCAATGTACTCGATTGTGCTGCTTAGGTCATGATATAAGAAAAAGAAAAAGGAGGGGAAAAAAAAAGTCTGTTGCTCATATAGAGCCAAAAATGTCATTGTGTCACTTGATGGGGCTCAGGGCTCTCGGATCACAGCATCCAGGATTCCTGGGAGTGAAACATCTCTGCGTGCTGCCTTCCCATGGAGTGAGTGGATCCTGGCAAGAAAAGCCATGTCTCTTCCCAGGAGGGACTCAAATATTTTTCAGTTTGGCTCTGTTTTGATTGCAGGTGAAGATTGAAGTGTGGGGGGGGGCACTCAGGGGTGGGGATGTGGGTGTGGGAAACACAGCCCTGCAAGAGCCCCAAAAATCATTTTTCTTTATGTACAGAGAAATTTGGGTAATGAAGAGGGAGGATTGGGAAACCACAGTCATTCATACTTCCATAGAATACCAGAATGGTTTAGGTTGAAGGGACCCTAAAACCCACCCCTTTCCACCCCCTGCCACTAGGTCGTCTGTGGGAATAGAAAATGCTGATTTTCAAAAAAAATTTGAAGAGGTTTGTTTTTGGTTTTTTTTTTTTTTTGTAATTACCTAGAAGTTTCAATGTGTTTTCATGGTATTTCATTAGCCCTTTATATTTTGAAGGCTTTAACTTGCACTGGAATTGATGCTCTGGATCTCAGCAAACAGGCAGCTTCTGAGCTGAGCTTGCACTCAAGGGATTGGTACTGCTCAAAAAACAGCATGAATTTGTGCAATTTTCAGCTGGGAATGGCTCCTTTTGGTTCCTTTAAGAACCTTTTGTAGGAAAGTGCTTTCAGCATGGTTTTTAGGCAGTATAAAATTTCAAATATTCACTTTTTTTAATTTTTTTTTTTTTTAAAATGCGTGATTTCCATTGTCCCAAGTCCTTTAGTATTTAGAGGAAAAATGGGGTTTAAATTCTATTTATTGGAAGTGAAGTTGTGAGAGCCCAATGAGTGTCACCTGCATGGCTAAATCAGTCGTTCTGCTGATGGAGCTGCTCTGCTGACTGGAGCCTTCTCCCAGGCTGGTGGAGCTCCTGAGAAACAGCAAAGCTGGGCACAAGTCATTAAGCAGGAAAGATGCAGCCAACAAACTGGTAGGAGGCTGAGAAAACTCATTCATTATTTAATATCCTCAGCAAACAGACTGTAATTTACTTCCAGCAGCCTGCTCAAACAAAGCCATAAATTATCATCTGGGGGAAGTTGAGCTGGAAAGGTGCTGAGTGCTTTGGCCCTGTCTCTGCTGAGCTCCTGGGATGGGAGGACAGGCAGGAGGAAAGGCAGGGGGCCACCTGTGTGGCGTGGCTGCTGCTGGCCAGGTTCAGTGCCTCAACCCTGGGCTCTGTCTGCTGAGCCTGGGGTTTGTTCTGGGGAGGGAAAGGTTCACTCGTGCTGAAGTTGAGGTCTCACCTGTGCTGAGATTCAGGAACATGATTTAGTAAAACCCAGCCCCGGTTAAGTCTTAGGATTTATACTTGTGGTTAAATACCTGCATGAGCTGAGCCAATGTGGAGTCTTACACTGAAAACTAAGTTGGTTACCTTCTTGTATATTGGATTTTAGGGGGGTTTTGTGTAGGAGTGCCCAGGGAGAAAGCCAGAGCCTTTGTTCCCTTTGCCCTGTTCCCCGTTCCCTGAGGTGGCAGGCGCTGCGCTTGTCCCCTCTGCATGTCACCAGTGTAAAGCTTTCCCTTCTCCTTTCCTTCTGTGCAGGAAGACTCAGCACAGCTCTCTGGACCAGAGCTCCCCACCCCAAAGCGGCGTCTCCGGCACCTACAACCACCCGGTCCTGGGGATGTACGATTCCAAAGACGACTTCCCACTCAGAAAAACAGGTGGGGCTGCCCTTCCCTCGCCGCGCTGCCAGCCGTCCCCGCCATCACACTCTGCCCTGATTGTCCTGAAAAAGAAGGGATGTTGCCAAAAAGCTGGATTCCAGGCCTGATTTGTTTCCCAAGCCCCCTCTCCACATGCTTCCCCTTCACCTGTGACGGTGCTCCCAGTGTTCCAGGGAGCCTGGGGCTGCTCTGGGGTGTGCAAGGAGCGCGGGAGACGGCAGAGCCGCATGTCAAAGTTTGGGAGATGTTTTCCAAAAACCCAAACCCAAAGCTCACAGAGAGATCCAGCCCAGCTATGCTTTGCTGAGTAAGAAGAGTACTGAGAAAAAGTTCATTTCTTGGGGGGATTTGCATTTTATGTATGAGCTTGTACTTAGTTAAGTAAGAGGTAAATAAGGGGATTTGTGCCGGAGCAAGCGCCGGGGCTTCCTGTGAGGGGTTGGTTCACACCTAGACAGTTCTTTCTCAGTCTGGCTTCTCCCTGCATGGTGGCTGAGCAGGTCAGTTATTCCTCAAGCCTGTATTATGTAAACCAGGTTGTTTGGCTTGGCTGTGCTCCTCAGCTCCTCAGTATCACATCCCTGAGCCAGCACAGCCTGGGCTTCCAATCCGGCCAGCTCGGGGCTGCTGCCTTCGGGGAACGGCTCAGCTCCGAGAGCTCAGCCTTGCTCGGGGAGCAATTCTGCCACTGGCCGTGCTGGGAATTGCTTCAGGATGGAAAAAAAATCTTCTCTGGAAAGATCACACAATCATTAATGTTGGGAAAGCCCTCTAAGATCATCCAACCTTCAACCAGCACTGCCAAGGCTGCCTCTAACCCATGGCCCCAAGTGCCACATCCACAGGTTTTTTAAGCACTTCCAGCAGTGGTGACTCCACCACTGCCCTGGACAGCCTGTTCCGATGCCTGACCAGCCTTTCAGTGATGAAATTTTCCCTTTTGGGAATTTCTCACTAGGAGCCATAGCACCTGCCCTGCTGGATGGATTCCCATCTGCACACATCTGCACAGTTTTCTCTGTTCCCCCTTGGCTTGGTTGTTTGACAAGTAACAAACACTTCAGCTGCACAGGAACCCAGTCAAAAATTTTCCCTGGGAAAGGTGCCCCTCTGCCTTTGGGGATGGGACTTTTGACTGTGTCCTTCCTGGAGGACTCCAAAAGCTGAGCTTAGAAAACTGGATTTGCTGAAAGACAGGGCATCCTCTCCTCTCTGCTCCTGGCTAATGGAAGAGCTTCCAGGCTGCCCTGGGGAATCACAGTGTTTCCATGCAGGGGTGCGTCCCTTGGCACCAAGCCTCTTACTTAGGGCCTGTGGGCAGCCTGAGTCCAAGAGATCTTCAGCTCTTTTCTATGCCTTGTGATGCCAGGTGATCTGTTCCTACCCTGTTAGCATTCCCACAGGAAAAACGGGCTTTGACATGCTCCCAAAGCTGCCTGCTTCATCATCTCAGGGCACCTTGTCAGATTGGCTTTGAGCAGCAGTCGCCCTTCCTGCTCCCAGTGTCCTGGAAGGGAATTTCTGCAGGAGAAGGAAGACATCTGCACATCTCACCCTGTGCTGCTTCCCAAACTGGGATCTCACCAAAGCTCCTGCTGAATGAACTCCTGCTGTCAGACAGGGGGAATTAAGGATGATAAATGGAGCTAATCACATTATTAAAGAGTGGAAGCCACCAAGCTCATTGTTGTTTTCCAGCAGGAGGATGTTCAGCTGATTTTGGTTTTCCAGAACGCTGGCGCTTGTTCTTTTTGGGCACCAGCATTAATCTCCTGGGCATTGGTCTGGGATACAAATGAGTTCACTTTTGTAAGGTCCAGGGGAGAACTTCTTTCTTTTTTTTTCTTTTTTTTTTTTTTTCATTGTTTTCTTTTATTTTCCTTTCAACACAACAGCACGTCAGGCTCTGGCACAGCAATATCCTGCAGAATTCCCAGTGCCAAGAATGTTAAGTTGCTTGGAGAAGAAAGGCTCCTGAACAGTCTGGTGTAAACAAAAGGCAGGGAAGGCTGGAGCCCATCCTAAATAAAGTTCTTTATTACGGGTGAGCTTTTCAGATTTTTGGCACCAGGCAACGCTCTGGCTTTGTGTTGGTAATTTAAAACCTCCATATCGTGTAGTCCAATTTTATTAAATTTGATTAAATATTTGCAGCTCAAATAACAGAGCCCATCACAATACATCTCTGATTACCAGGGCTGGAATCCAACCAGCACCGTTGCTGGGGAGAGGGTGGCTTAGGGGGTGGTGGGAAGGCAGATGGAATTATCATTTCTCCCAGTCTGCTGAGCTGGGAGCATGTCTTGCAGGTTGAAAAATTTTTGGGAAGAATCAATATTCCTCATCCCTGGAAGTGTTTCAGGCCAGGTTGGACAGGGTTTGGAGCTCCCTGGGATAGAGGAAGGTGTCCCTGCCCATGGCAGGGGGTTGGAACAAGGTGAGCTTTAAGGTCCCTCCCAGCCCAAACCATTCTATGGTTCCATCAAATTTGCCATTCCCTGCATTTTAGCAACACTCAGTGTCTTTACTCTTATTTCAAGCACCCTGATAGTCACAGGTTATGGGAGAGGGAGGATGTGCATGAATGATCTCTTCAGAGTGCTTGAAAGCCTTCAGCAGGGGGAACAGTCAGCTCCTGCAGCATGTTCCTGATGCCTTCTGTGCCCTGAAATCCAGCTCTCTCTGATTTGTTTTCCTAAATTATGCTCCAGTTTCTTGGTTGTTTGGTTTCAGTGTGAAATTGTTTTCCTGGTGCAGTTACTAATTGCTTGAATCCTGTTCTTAGCCTGGCTGGGGGATTAATTTCACTCTGCTCCCTCTCTCCAAGCACTTTGGGGCTTTTTTTTTTTTCCCCACTGAACTAAGATCTGTTTGGTTGGTGCTGCTCCTGCCTTTGCTATTACATACCTGGATTAGCACAAGGATTTTTATTTCTCCTTTTTGGGGAGTTTACTTTGTTCTGTGTAGGATTTAGTGTCAGAGTTTTCTTGACAGCTTTTGAGAAGGGAAATTCCCTAAGTGACCTTTTCTGCTCCTAGATCAAGGTAGGTGTCTACCAAATTTACTGATATTCATTATGTGCCACACCAGGATTCTCTAAAGAAAATCTCTGGAAAATCCTTACAGAGTGATTTTAGACTTTGGGTTGGGACAGCCTGTTTTGATAACCCCAAGAGCTGTTTGTCAACACCTTTCTTGGAGCTGCTGAAGTGGGTTTCAGCAGAGCTTTTCAGTTTTGCATTTCCAAGGAATCCTGTCCTCGTTTTCCCCCCAGGAACAAGGTTGTTGATGGCATTCCCTGTTTTCTGAAATTCGAGCAGTGGATGGATTAGAACATGCTGTTACTTAGAAAGCTGACACCACCACCATCATGAAGATTTAAAGGGAATTATTTCACTTCTTAACATGCTTTTCTTCTTGGACTCGATGATCTTAGAGGGCTTTTCCAACCTAAATGATTCTGTGACTCCATGATTCTTTTTCCATGCAAAAGAGAGGAGCCTGAGAGAGGAAAGCATCCAGCATCCAGCATCCCCTGATGTTGTTGGTATTGCAGAAAACTGGAGTTGTTTGGGTATTATTTGCAGCTAAGCAGGTGAAATTGGTGTGAACTTGTTGCATTTAGAAAGAAATAAAAGGGAAAATAAAAGAATTTGTCAACAATTATAATGCTGCATTTGTCGAGGAAAGTGTAATGTCCCTCTGAGCTGGTTCTGATTATTGGAGTGTTTGGAGTGGTTTGTTTTAGGACAAAAGGTTGTTTGGAGGAAAATATACTAGTCAGAAACACTGGAGTAATGTGGGAGTATAATCCAGAGGAAATCTCAGAGCTCTGTGTGGCATGGAGTGTCACTCCAGTTCAAGAGCATCTCTGCCTTCCCACCCACGTTGTCCTTCCAGCCAGCATGGTTGGAAGACTGGCTTCCCACAGACCCACGCACTGAGAGGAGACCCTGACTGCCAGAGAAATCCCTTCTGGAAATACCCTGTCCAGCTCCAAGTGGAGGACATCAGTCTGTCTGATCCAAAAATAGCACTTAGCTTGGATATTGGGGAAGGTTGCTTCACTGAAACAGTGGTCAGGCACTGGAACAGGCTGCCCGGGGCAGTGGTGGAATCACCATCCCTGGAAGTGTTCAAAAACGGGATGTGGCACAGGGGGGACATGGTTTGTGGTGGTGATGAATTCATGGTTGTACTTGGTCATCTCAGAGGTCTTGTCCAGCCTTAATGATTGTGGAATCATGAGGACAATTCTTGTGAGTGGTGCACCAAAGGAGAAGCCTCTTCCAGGAGGAGACAAAATCTTGTGGTTTAGTGTCACCTTTGGGGGATCCCAGTCACTCAGGGAACCCACCCTCCTCCTTGGTCCTCCCAGCTCCATCTCTGCTTGCCAGGGGCCTGCACTGTTCACAGAATCCCAGGGCTGGGTCTGAGGGAATCTCAAAGCCCATCCCATTCCACTCCCTGCTACGGGCAAGGACACCTTCCACTGTCCCAGGCTGCTCCAAGCCCCAGTGTCCAGCCCGGCCTTGGGACACTTCCAGGGATCCAGGGGCAGCCCCAGCTGCTCTGGGCACCCTGTGCCAGGGCCTGCCCACCCTCACAGGGAACCTTCCCAATATCCCATCTAACACATTCCCTCCTTCAGCTTAAGCTCCCTCTCCTCATGGAGTTTTCTCATGGATGTTAGAAGGGAGACGAGATAATTCTGTTGGCTTTTGCCTGACTAGTAAAGCTTAGTCTGAAACTTAAAAATAATAACAATAAATTAATAACATCCCTTTCCAGTCCCCACCTGCCAAAATGAAGATGTTCAAGGACTGGGAGAAGGGGTTTCATGCTGCATTGTTTGCTTTTATTCCACAAACGTGGATGGGCAGTGGGAGCAGGGCAAACTCTGCCCAGGACTTGGTGGGATTTTGACTTCCACAGACTTAATGTCCAATTAGTTCAGCAACTTAGGGGCTGCATTTCCAGGAAAAAAAAAAATCAATGGGAATGACATAAATGTTGGAAGAATTGGATTACATGGGTCCTGCTGCACTCAGTGACGTATAAGATGGGTAACTTGTGTTGGAGACTGAAAACCAAGGAAGCTTTTGGCTTATGTTCTGGTTATTAATTTACTCGGAGGAAAACAAAATATTCTTTGTATAAATCCTTATTATAGGCCAAATTAAGTATGTCAGTGCTTAAGAAATCCCACTGGCTTTGTGGGAGCTGACTCAGATTTGGGCATGGGCTTCATTTGTTTGCTGGAGGGGAATTTTGATAATTTCACAGCATTTGTTTTAAATATTTCACCTTGAGATGTAGAGGAGCAGTAATTTTTAAACTTAGGTTTGGTAGCTTAATCTCCAGTTTTTAAGTTTACTTCAGTTAGCAAAGCTTTGTTTGGGCGTACTGCCTGGCAGGGTGAATTTGGGAAGATTTCTAGTGGAATTGGTGTTCCTGAGACAGCACTGAACCTGCATTGACTGTCAGGTATTGATGCTTCTGTGTTGTTTAAATTCCTGTTTTATACTTGTGAAAGACAGCTCTCTTCAGCTTAAAAACATCTTTATTATATCATAGTTTAAAAAACATCTGAACAAATTCTTTTAGCATATAATAGGTTTTATGTAAATTCTGTGAGTTTGAGGCTGTGCTGTGCTGCCTGTGCTGAATTTTAATTCATCTACTTTGGGCTCTGGAGCACCCAGTTAAATCCATGTAGGGATTACGCTCTCTGAGGTCCTGATGCCATGTTAGATTTGGGATTATATCTGAGGGATAAACAACAAAATCAGAGCAGGGTTTTAAATAGACCTTTGGTGTTTTGAAACTGGATTCCCCAGCAGAAGGGGAAAACACAGAGTGATTTTGCCTTAAAATAGTTTAATCTGTCAAATTCCAATACGTTGCTTTGGCAATCACTCATGCTGGAGGTATTTTCTCTTTTAAGGCTGGCATTTTCTGTTTGTTCACCTCTTTGTTATATGGAAAGAGGTCTTTATTGTGGCTTTAAATATGGGGTGTGTTGGGTAATCTGTGACCCCAAATCTTTTGTTTTCCTGCCCATTTTTAAGGTGTTTCAAACCTATTCCTTCTCTGTATCTGAAAGCCACCTAATTAATTTTGTGTTCCCAACAGAAACCGTCCCTCATCTGGACACCAGGAATAAAATTTGGGCTGAAATACAGTTTTTATTGCTGTGTTCTCCTTTATCAGAGGACAGATCCTTCCAACAGATGTGGCATAGGCTTAGATTTCCTTGATTTAAAATGGATGTATCAGCATCCAGATGTGACACTTTCCCCTTCCACAGAATCCCAGAGTGGTTTTGTTGGAAGGGACCTTAAAGATCATCTCCTTCCAGCCATGGGTGTGGCATCCAGACAGCTATTAATGCTCAGAAATTGGGACAAATTAAAGCTGGGAATGTAAGGATGTGGGATGAGGTATGTACCCAAACACTGCTTTTAAAGTCATGTCAACTTCTGTTTTGAAGAGAACTCAGAGAAGTTGCTGCTTGGAGTCTGAGCTTGTGTTTGAAACGGTCCAGTCTTTAATATTGCCCTGGGAGCAGATCTGCATTCAGTCCCCTGCCATTCTATATGCAAATTCTCTCTCTCCAAGATAATTCCCCCCTTGCTAATGCACTTCATTCAGCATTTGAAGCATCATCTTGAGGAAGCACTTTTTTTTTTGTGCTCCCTTTATCTCTTGGTGGCATTTTTCTGTCCAAAACATTCACTAAAAAGCTCTTTACTTTCTTTTTTTTTTCCTTCCTCCCAAAAATTCCATCAAAGCGCTGTGTTGATGGCTTAACTTCAAGCATTTGATCTTGAATTCATCAGCCTTCTGATTTTTCAAGCCCTGCAATTAACATTGACAGGCTTGATCTTTGACGTGACCTGGTGGTCAAGGGAAATACAGCTGCAGCCAGACTGGGTTAATTCAAATCAGTTTGTAAACCCTGTTTTAATTCTTCTGAAGAAATGTAGATGGCTGGCCCTGAAGTGTGTTGGTTGGTAATGGAGTGAGCACAGGATTTGCTGGTTCAAAGGGATTGATCAGCAGAGTTGTTGAGGAAGGGAGAGGATGGAGCCAGTTCACTCAGCTGTGTCAGGAGCCCTCAAACGCCACAGCAGGTATTGCACTCAGGGCTCAGATCAAAAAGCTCCTAGAGGAAATCATCTTGCAGGAGGAGTCTTGAACCAAAGCTTCATGACCCTGATGGGGACTCGATAACACGTGCGCTGTCACCGGCTGTCCTGGGTGCTGTCCCCAGGGGGACTGGGGCTTCCCAGGAGCTCTGCCTTGGCTTTTTGGGATCTCAGGTTTTGGAGGGATTCTCTCAAAAGCGTGGTGTACACAAGGCTGTGCTCACAGGAAATGCATCCACACCTGCCCTGGGCAGTCTGGAATTTGCCAGGTGTGCTGTTAGATAGGGTTGAACTGTGGGGCTATGATGATGGAACCCCAAGTTGCTTCCCAAGCAAACCAACCTCCTCCTCACTGGCATTTGCTTTCCTTGGCCACACTTTCATGCCCTTTCCCTTGAGTTGACACTGGCTGCAGCTGACACAGGGAGCCATCAGGGAGACAGTCACCTGGTTTGCTTGTGGGGTTTGATTTTGGTGTTTTCTTTCCCCTGCCCTGGTGTCCCTCCCTCAGCCAGCTCACCCTGGGGACGGATGGCTACGAGGGTGTGGAGCTGCCTGTTCCAGCAGCACACCAGAGATAACCAACAGCAGCGAATCAGCCGGCTCAGCCATTCCTCTGCTGCTTCCCTGGGTTTGCTGCTGGGTTGGGAGCACGTTGGACAGAGGTGGGAAACTGCTAATCCTAGCAGATTAGTAAACTAGACTAATCCTAAATCTGTGTCTTTGTTCAGAGAAGACTTTGCAAGATGATTATTACATTTTTAATTCCAATGCCTGTCATCATTGTTGAATCCAGAGATTGCATGGGCTGGGACCTGTTTGTTATATTAAAAATCTCTGTTCCAAATATTTGTTAGCAAATGACTTTATGTAATTTCACCTCCTGCAAGTGCTTGAATGCAGCCAACTCAACTCAACTCCACACAACTCAACACAGCTCAGCAGAACTCAAAACAACTCAACATAACTCAACTCAGCTCAACTCAACTCAGCTCAACTCAACTCCACACAACTCAACTCCACACAACTCAACACAACTCAACTGCAGGCTGAGTAAAACACTCCTAACACTGTTTCCTTTTCCTGGCCAGCCTCTGAACCCAACCTGAAGCTGCGCTCCAGACTAAAGCAGAAGGTGGCAGAGAGGAGGAGCAGCCCCCTCCTGCGCAGGAAGGACGGGCCTGTGGTGACGGCGCTCAAGAAGCGCCCTCTGGATGTCACAGGTACTGCGGGTAAGCCATAATTCCTCCATTCTTCACCCCCTTCTCCTTTCCAGAAATATGATCCTGTCTCCTCCGTGTGCATCAGCAGTGCTGGAACCAAGCTGAGGGCACTGGAATTGTCCAGCCTGGGGGAGGCTGAGGTCAGGCCTCATCCCCATCCACAGCTCCGATCTCTGCTCCTTGTGATCAGGGACACACCCGGAGCTATGTCAGTTAGGATGGAGAACAGGAAAAGGTTCTTGACCCAGGGGTTTTATACATACAGCTGTATTAAACTTCTTTCTTGACTACTCAACTGACAGTTTCTTGTTGAAAAGTCCTGTCCTTCCAGGACCAAAGTCTGCAAGTGGGATCAGAGTAAAGAACATGATGAGATTTCCATAAAGTTAATTCCTAGCACCATCTAGGGATGTCTCTGTGTAAGTACCACCCAGTGACAGCTTTGCCAGGATTGACTCGCTCTGAGGCACACAGTCATCACTCCAGCAAGTTCAAAGTGAGCTCCCTTTGGACAGCGGGGTGGCTTTTGGAGACCCTGGGGTGCCTCAGCACTTCCCTGTGTCACAGCCTCTCTGTTTGCAGAGGGGAAGGAGGATTTCAAGAGCTAAAAGTTGTGGAATCATGAAATATCCTTGGAAGTTGGAAAGCTTAATTGGAAGGATAATCCAGTCCGATCCTAGACCTGCACAGAACCCCCCAAAAATCCCAGCCTGTGCCTGAGGTGTTTTCCAAACACCCCGTGAGTTCTGTCAGCCTTTCAGACATGAAAATCCAATTTCCTTCACTCACACAGTGCTATATGGCACATGGCTCCTGGGATAAATCAGCCTCTGCTGGCTGACCATTTTTCCCTGCAATGACTTCAGAAATGGCAATGGAAGCTCCCATTTCTCACTGCCATGGACATGGTTCAAGAAGCCAGTCCGGAGCCTGTTAGAAAAGTACCTGAGTTGTTGTGGTAAGAGGGGACTTCTAAACGGAAAATAAGTTTTAAAAACAGTCCCATATTGGAGAACAGAAATTATGTTTAATCCCTGAAGAATGCAGGGGGTTCTAATGGGACACCTTCCACTTGACCAGGTTGCTCCAACCTGGCTTTGAGCACTTACAGGGATCCAGGGTCAACCACAGCTTCTCTGGGCACCCTGTGCCAGGGCCTCCCCACCCTCACAGGGAACAATTCCTTCCTACAATTCCCCTTAAGCCTGCCCTGTGGCAGTAGGAAGCCATTCCTGTCCCTCCAGGCCCTTGTAAAAATTAGCTTTTATTCCTCCTGGAGCGATGAAGAGCCTGCTGCAGCCTGTGCCACTGCAGCTGCTGGGAGATTTTCCTGCTGCAAAGGCTTGGGGACGAGGAAAGCTCAAAGGAAAAGGTTTGAATGTTATTAACCTTCCCATATAAAAGGAGGAACACTGGCAGCTGTGCCATACAACACAACACAGCATACAACACAAGAGAGACCTTCTGAGAGAGGTCTGATGCAAGGAGGTGTCCTTAGGGTTAGAGGGAAAGAGGGTGAGAGGCACTTCCAGAAAAATGAAGCAGAACAACTCTGATGTCCTCCAGTCTGACCTCTTCAAACCTTCCATGCCTTTCATTATCTTTCAAACATATTTCAAGTTATTAATACACTTTAAGAGAAATCCTTATGGGGAGAAGACTTAAATATGCTGAGTAGGTACTTGGATAAACCATTTGAAGTGTTTGTTGGTATTTCAAGAGCCCTGGGAAGATTTAGGGGGAAGAAGGGGAGGAGGAGGTGGAGGGCTGCTTTTGTCCAAAACAAAACTTGAAGGGTTGTTATCTGTCTAAATACCATCACAGAGATGGTTTCTGATGTTACAAGTTGGTTTTGGATGTATTTTCCAGACTCTGCATGCAACAGTGCTCCTGGATCTGGTCCCAGCTCTCCGAACAACAGCTCCAACAACATCAGCACTGAGAACGGAATCGCAGGATCAGTCACGAGTATCCAAGCAGAGGTACAGAGCCCTCCTCTCCTCTGGTTTTTAACACCCACCAGCTCTGGGAGAGTTTTAGGACTAAGCCACACAAAAGGAAAATCCTGACTTGTGACTTGGAGCAGACTGGGAATTGCCTCTCAGCCGGAGCTGATGGGATGCCTTATCTGTTTATTAAATCTGGTTTGAACCAGCTCACAGGCAGCTTGTGGTAGCTTGCAGTGGTTTTGTAGTGAGGAGAAAGTAAAAATAAAGGGATTCAGCAAGGTCAAATACAAGTATTTTAATGTTTGGGGAATTTATTCCTGTATATAGGGTGGATTTATTGTGTGCAGTAGGCTGGTCTAAATAACCATAACTGGATTACAGGGAATAGATTTAAACTTTTCCTCCACAACTGGGGATCTGAAAGCTTGGTGCCATGTGCTAGTTTATAATCCCATAAACTTTCACCACCACTTGAGGCATTGCTAGATGCCCAGGGCAGGGTGTTGGCCTGGGTGAGGTGGGGTTGGATTAAGCACAGCAGCTCCTGTGTTCAGTAATCCTGGAGCCAAGCTTCTCCAAGGGATCTGGGCCATGGAAGCTGGCTCCCACTATAAGCTGTGCCTGTAGAAAACCAGTGTGGTTGTCTGATGTTACTGGTGCATTTCTTTTTATCCAGCTTCCCATTAGCTCCCCATGAATAGAGTCTGTCTTAACACCAGGGCTCCAAAAACAGGCTGGGGCTTGTTCTCCACAAATATTCCTTTAGAATTGAAAAGGCCTTCTGATGGTGGAAATGTCAGTCCTTACTGCTTTCTAGTTTTGTACAGATTTGCACTTTATTTTTATTTCTAATGTGGTGTAACAGTATTTAATATGGAGAACATGCCTCCTTCTCCACTCTCTCCCCTGCCAAACGATCCAGCATTCATTCCAGCCACTCTAGTCCATAGTAAACTGTACAGATTTAGGTAATTAGTGTGAAGATTAAGAGGGTGGGAGGTGGAGGCTTCACTTGCCCCAGGAGGACAAGCATTGAGTTCTGGTTTTGCTGATCCAGGAACTGTCAGTCTTGTCTGTCCTTAGCAAACTGCAGATTCCCTGCGACTGCAAAGTTGCTGCTGATGGAAAAACTGGTGGATTTGACAGTTCCTTTGTGACATAAGCAGAGCAGGCAGCTCCCTGAAAGTCCTTGTAAGGGATTGGAATCAGGTGGTCTTTAAGGCCCCTTCCAGTCCAAATCATTCCATGAAGTCAGGGTGAGCTCCTGCAGGTGAATGTGAAGCTGCAGCATCCTCCTCATCCATTTGATTTTTAACTTAATAATTAGAGCTGATCATCTGGGACTGGATCACCAACACATAATCAAATGGACACTGACACCAAGAAAAGGTCTTTCCATCAACTGCTTGTAGTGCAGCAATATTGTGACTTAGGCTGAGGTGCGAGCAGCACAAATGATTTGGAGAAAAAACCTGTCCTGCCCAAGCCTTTCCCTTCCCCAAAATAAAATAACTCTTCATTTTATTCCAGCATTCATGTCATGTGACCCCAGCTGATCCATTGGCCTGTATTTGGGAAAAATTAAGTGGGGTTTGGTGTCCTTTAAAATCTTCTTCTTCAGCAGGAGTTGTATGAGCTGGGAGCTCAGGTCTTGGAGATTCCTTTAATACCAATGGACTAGGATTTCCCACCTTCCCACCACTAAATGTTTGGAAGTATTTGAGTGTTTCTGAAAAGATATTGGGTTTCATTCTTAGCTTCATGCTTTATTTTAAATGAGAAGTTTATCTCACTGCTTCTTAGTTTGCTGCATCAGCCCTTGAAGCAGGTGTGTTGGAGGGTGGTGCCCAAGTTCATCATTTGAGTGCCTTCAGTGGGGAAAGACTGCAGCCCTGCCTCCTTTAAAACAGACACTTTCTGTTTTGAAATACTGTTTTTAAAGGCTTTTCCCTCTCTGAAAGGCACACAGCATTCGCTGCCATTGCAGTTGGTACAAGGCTGTAAAAGCTCCTTGAGTACAGCTGCAGATTGTGCATTCAGAAGGGGCTGTGTGCAATCCAGGCCCATTTATGCACAGCCCAGAGATGGGAGCTGTGTGTTTAAAGTGATGATAATGCTGCCAAATCCCATATGCTGGGAGCATCCAGCCTCTGTGTTCTCCTCTCCTCTGTTTTCTATATCAAATCCCCAGGAGAGGCTTTGAGGCACAACTCCAGACTATTGATTGTTCAAAGGGAAAATGGATGTAGTTCTGTTTCACTTATGATATCAGTAAAATATTTCATTCCTCTGCTGAAAATAAGTATCTTATTTTCAATGGCACACTGACATTATGTAATTTAAATTAAAGCAAAATTGCCAGGAGTGCTCAAAAATCACTTGGAAGGAGAATTGTGTGGGTACAAATAATCACATGGAGAGTCACTTTAGATTAGAGAGAAAAATGAAGTTTTTTTACAATGAATCTGTTAAAGAATGGCACAGGCTGCCCAAAGAAGCTGCAGCTGCCTCATCCCTGGCAGTGCCCACCGTTAGGCTGGATTTTGGGTTTGGAGCACCCTGGGATAGTGGAAGGTGTCCCTGCCCATGGCAGGGGTGAAACAACCTGGCCTTGAACAATTCCAGGGATGGAACAGCCACGACTTAGATACAGACTGCCCCATAATAGAATACTGAGTTAAACAAAATCCCCTTGTTCACAGCAGCACCTGAGTTTAACAGACTTCTGTAGAAGTCTTCTTGAAGTCTAAATTCTATTTATGTTGGAAAATCACCCACAGGGACCTCAGGGTGATCAGAACACTGGTTTCCTAACAGGAAAATCAGGCACTTTATTGTAATTTTTATAATGGGTTTTCTAGTGCGTATTTCAAACCAGTCTTGTTTAGAAATTAAATGTATTTTTGCTAAAATGTTCTTGCTTCAAATGCCTGCAAGATAACTGGGAAAATCTTGCATTTCACCCTGAAAATCAGGAAATAGCTCCATAAATGCAACCTTGAGGCTTTTGGATGAGAGTTTGAAGTCTGATTTATGCTAACATATGCTAGTAAATAACATAAATTGTCTGTTATTTGCTAAAGAGAAAAACACCAATTGTAAAGCTTTTTTTTTTTTCCCTAAGATAATCTGTTTTACCTTTAAAAAGGAGAATGATTGAGAAGGACAAGTACCAAGGGAACAGCACGTAGCTGTTCCAGGGGAGGTTTAGGTTGGATATCAGGGAGAGGTTCTTCCCCCCAGAGGCTGCTGGCACTGCCCAGGCTCCCCAGGGAATGGGCACGACCTGAGGCTGCCAGAGCTCCAGGAGAGCTTGGACAGCGCTGCCAGGGATGCCCAGGGTGGGGTGGTTGGGGTGTCTGTGCAGGGCTGGAGACTCCATGTCCCCTCCTGCTGCCTTGTCCCAGTGAGTGCCATGTCCTGGCAGGCTTTGGGGATGGGATCTCACCCGTTGTCCTTCTCTTTTCCAGACCAGCCTGGCTCACAGGCTCGTGAACCGCGAGGGCTCCGTGACACAGCTCCCGCTCTACACCTCGCCCTCCCTGCCCAACATCACGCTAGGACTGCCTGCCACCGGCCCCTCCAGCGTAAGTGGGGCTGGGATCAGCCCCTGGGATGTCAGTGGGGTTGGGATCAGCCCCTGGGATGTCAGTGGGGTTGGGATCAGCCCCTGGGATGTCAGTGGGATCAGGATCAGCCCCTGGGATGTCAGTGGGGTCAGGATCAGCCCCTGGGATGTCTCTTAACCCCCTGTGCCCCGGTGCGTTTGCAGGCGGGACAAGCACAGCAGGATGCAGAGAGGCTCGCAATCCCAGCCTTACAGCAGCGGATCTCCTTATTCCCTGGCACTCACCTCACTCCCTACCTGAGCACTACAACGTTGGAGAGGGATGGGGGAACTGCACACAACCCTCTCCTGCAGCACATGGTCCTACTGGAACAGCCAACTGCACAAACGCCCCTGGTCACAGGTGAGAGCTCCGGGGGCAGTGCTCGGGCACCTGGAAAAGTGAGGAAGCCAGCAGGGATCTGGTGGGTTGTTGTCAAGGCAGCCTCTAGGTCCTGCATCACCTCTACACCCCGCAGGTGGAACATAAAACCTTTGTTTGTTGATTCATTGATTAGCAGTGATTTTTCCAGAATCACATCTCCCACTTCATTTTGGTGAGACAAAAATAAATGCTGTTATTCCATCAGGACAGCAAAAGTTGGTTGGCAAAAGTTGAAAACTCTATTTGTTGTTCTTACCAGTTGAGATCAAAGTGAGGGCAGAAATGTGTCTCAACGATTCCTGTTTTCCATGGATGGTTTCTATTCCATGAAAGTACCAAAGGCACGCACTTAGAAAATGACAGGTTAAAACACTTCCTTTTCATCATTAATATAAATAGCAAAGCCATGGCAAAATCAGCTGCCTCCCAACAGATTGTATTTGTTTGTGTGCATTCCCTTTCCAGGATGTTAATTGCCGTGAGTCACTCCCGGTGCTGGGTTTTCAGAATGAACTACCTGTGGGAAGGCCTGTGGCTATAAATACGTTGGATCCAAAGCAATAATTCCCACTGGGATGTGTTCCTGGTTTCCTGTGTGTGGTGCTGGGACAAAGGATGTTCTGCTTCAGTTACTGACGTGTTGGTTTTCCTTCCCTTCCTCCCATTTCTAATGGAAGTTCTTGGGAGGTGTCAGCCCCTGCAGCATTGCATCTCATGGCTGGTTGTGCATCCAAACCCCAGGAATATCTGGGGTTGGGATAAGCTTGGGAGCATGTAGATGGGGGGAGGCTGATGCAGAGAAGCGTGGTGTTTGCTTCCCTCAGTTTCCTGCACACTGTGTTTGCTTCCAAGCAAATTCCTTCTACTCCACCTGCTCCGTGTGGTGCTTTCCAAGCGAGTACAACGTGTTGCAACCCAACGCTCAGGAGAAAGAGTCAGGACAAAGAAACAAGGAGAAACACACGTTCCAGAGGCAGCAGCTGAGGGGCAGCGAGCTCACACATGGTCCCCAAGGCCTTGAGTGCACCGTCTGCCAACTGCAGCTAATGTTTGGAAACTCCTTGGTAACAAAGAGAAGTTTATTAGGATTCTGCTGGGGAGCCTTTAGCTCTGGAGATAGTCCCCTAACTGCTGCAGGATTATCCAGCTGTGATGGCTCTCTCTGTGCTGGAAGGTAGACATGGCCAGTTTGGGAAGCTAGACTAGAATTCCTTAGCTGTGCCATTCCTCTTGGGAATGGTTACTCCAGGTAGTGTCCTTCATGTTGTGATGCATGTCCTGATGTTCCTTCTTCCTGATGGAACATACTCAGGGCTTGGAGCACCCTGGGATAGTGGAAGGTGTCCCTGCCCATGGCAGGGGGTGTGATGAGATCAATTTTAAGGTGCCTCCCAAGCTGAGCCGTTCCAGGATTCTGTGAACATGGTGTCTCCTGGAAAGCCAGGAGCTCCTTGGCCATTGCCTTGGGAGGAAGGTAGTCTTCCAAAATATCCTGTGCACACTCTGCTGTGTGATATGAACTTCTGGCAGGAGGAGCTGTGCCCTCAGGGAGAAGGAGCACATCTTTCCCAGTGATCAGTGTATTCATACGCAGACCTGTGTGTGTACACACCGACATCTGCAGAGACATGCATTTAGAAAATCAAATACCCTTTCACATGATCCCTTTCAGAAAAGGCACAGAGTGGGAGAAACTCTGTAAGTCTTCTGGGAAAAGTGGCTCTCACATGAGTCCTTCCACATAGGGCAGTTCTGTGAATCGGTGGGAAAGGAGGTCACATCCTGGGACGCAAATGCCAAGGTGTTTCTAATCCTCAGCATCCACTGGCTGCAGACTTCTGGGCAGCTTCTTCCCCTCCTGAACCAAAGCCTGAGGGGAGCAGAGGGCTTCTTGCCCAAGAGTGACTGCAGCCCTAGCCCTGCTGGGGAGGCAGCTGGTTCCTGCAGCTTGAATTGAGTCTGGAATCAGTCCCTAAACCACAGCAAGCTGTGAGGTTTAAACTTCTCCAGACCACTGTGGTCTCATGTAGCGCTGGCGGGGTTGGTAAGGTGTTGCCGGTTTCAAGAAATGAGATGTTTCCAGAGGGTCTCTGAGTCACCAGGCAGACACAGAACTCAAACCAAGCAAAGCATTGCTCCGTGCAGTGGTGATTAATTTATCTGCTCTCCCTCAAGGCAGCTCCAGCTGTAGGTGGCGAGGTGGCTGGGTTTGACATGGTATCACTGTCACCATCAGCGTTACTCAACAGCCGTTTTCTCCCTTCCTTTCTTCTTCCTTTTGTTTCTCCTCTGCTGTTTTTTCCTCCATATTATCTTCAGACTGGTATCTTTCAGGACTGCCCCTGCACGCACAGCCCCTGGTGGGTGGAGAGAGGGTCTCCCCTTCGATCCACAAGCTGCGGCAGCACCGCCCGCTCGGGCGCACCCAGTCTGCTCCCCTGCCCCAGAACGCCCAGGCCCTCCAGCAGCTGGTGATCCAGCAGCAGCACCAGCAATTCCTGGAGAAACACAAACAGCAATTCCAGCAGCAGCAGCTGCACATCAACAAGGTAAGCACAAAGCTTTCCATGCCTTTTTTCCTCCACAGCAGCTTCAAGCACGTGATTTCAGGGTCTCTAGTGCAGGTTGTGGGCTCTACCTCCAGCATCCCTGGGCCTCTCATCCTTGGACTGTATTTGTGAGGGAAGTTACTCAGATTTACTGAAACATTTGCTGAAAGTGTAAGAGACTTAGGAGTGCTTACCTGGAGAAGAGAAAGCTCCAGGGAGAGCTCAGAACCCCTTTCCAGTGGCTAAAGGGGCTCCAGGAGAGACAGGATACAGGGAATGGCTTCCCACTGATTAGGTGGGATATTGAGAAGGAATTCCTCCCTGGGAGGGTGGGCAGGCCCTGGCACAGGGTGCCCAGAGCAGCTGGGGCTGTTCCTGAATCCCTGGAATTGTCCAAGGACACTGGGGCTTGGAGCAGCCTGGGATAGAGGAAGGTGTCCCTGCCCATGGCAGGGGCTGGCACTGCATCATCTCTTAAGATCCCACCCAAACCATTCTGGGATTTGTACTGTTTGGAGGCTTTCTAAGCAGTCCTCCCAAGGACTTCCAATGGAAGCTTTCCTTAGGACACCAGTAATTCCAGCAGCAGATCAGGGCTCAGGACCAGCCCGTGGCAGGCTGGTTCAGAGCGCTGTTCCATTTCTGAAGAAGGTTTCTCTGAATATTTCCCACCGTTTCAGTCCCGCGAGAAAACAACTCCTGTGAGACAGCTACTGAGGGCTGGATCAAAGAGTGAAGGAAGCCACCCCCCCTCCCCCACCACCACACCACCCCCAAACCCTTGTTTATGGGCTGGGGCTGAGGCAGGATGATTACACAAGTCACTGACGTCAATGCTGTCCTCCTGGAGCGCTGCCACCACGGGTGCCAGCCCTGGCCCCGGCTCAGCCCCACACACGGGGGCCTGGGGAGCTGCTGCTCCACAGGGATCCCATTTCCTCACCTCCAAACACTCCTCGGGACCAGGGCCCGGGGTGCAGGGCAGCGAGTTGGGATTCTTTGTTTGGGGAAGTGTCAGCTGGAGGGGTTTCTTGCGTGAAGGTTTTTAAAGCTTTTCCAAAGCCTTGGCTGTGACGTGTCCCCTGAGCTCATTCAGACTTTCTCCTGGACCTCCCAGGAGCTGGAGAGCCACTGGAGCACTCTGAATTCCAGCTTTGTCCATCGCCTGTCCGCAGCAAAATCAGTCAGAGAGGGTTTAATTAAACTGATTTCCCTGTGTTTGATTTATAGGAGTCACGAGTTAAAATCACTTCGGTGCTGGCGCTGCGTGCGTGTGGCAGATTTATCCCGTGGGACAGCATCCAAGTGCTGACATGGGAAAAGACTTTTCCCAGATGTGGGGATATTTTAGGACCCTGGTGTTTGTTAGGAGAGTTAAAGGCAGGACTAAAAATAAAATAAAAGATTATTTAATTATTAACAGGACCAATAGCACTGCCTGTTAATTTTTTTATTTGCGGATTTCCCGTAACTAATACTCCTGAAATATTTTATATATTTTTATACTCATAAATCAGGCTTTTCTTAATTCCATGTGATTTTTCCAAACTTTGATATTTTGGCCCTAAATATTCCCTGTTAGGTGTCTGCAGCAGATGAAATTTTTTAGGGAACTGCAGCCAAAACAAGTCTTGCTGTTTCCAGGAAGGCAACTAAGAAAAAATGTGTAGTTTTGCATAAAAATAATAAGAATAGTCATGGGAGTAGCTGTGACTGCCCCCAGATCCCTGGAAGTGTCCCAGGCCAGGTTGGACTGGGCTTGGAGCAACCTGGGATAGTGGAAGGTGTTCCTGCTCATGGCAGGGGCAGAATGGGATGAGCTTTAAGATTCCTTCCAACCCAAACCATTCTGTGATTCATATTGAGCTGATATCCCACCACCAGCCTGTGCTCCTATTTCCCACCTTTTTTGCATGTTTAATGTTCAAAAGGGAAGTGCCAAGGGAGGTTTAGGTTGGAAAAGATCAGATAAACTTTTTGCACTGAAGAGATGGCCAGGCACTGGCACAGGCTGCTCAGGCAGTGGGGGAATCACCATCCCTGGCAGTGTTCAGACAGCCTGTGGATGTGGCACTTGGGGACAGGGTTTGGGGTGGCTTTGGTAGTGCTGGGGAAACAGTTGGATTCGTTGGTCTGAGAGGGCTTTTCCAAAGTTAAGGATTCTGTAATATCAGAAGAAGTTTTGTTTCAAGCCCCATCCAGCCTTGCAGGTGGGTTGTTCCCTCTCCTCCAGGCACAGAAGCTCCAGAGTCTTCTGGTCCTGCCAGCAGTAGGACTGAGGCTGCCTCAGAGAGTTGTTTTTTCCCTGCAGTCCCATCACTTTGGGTGGGAGGAAAGCCAGATCAAGAGATTTCTGTAGGCTTTGGCTGCTGCAGAAGGCTCTGCCAGTTGCCTGCATGGCTGGTGTCCAAATTGGCCTCTCCCCATCATCCCTTATCATCTCTTGTTTCTCCTTAGTCTATGAAAGTTAAAAATCAAAACCCGAAGGGAATGTGGGAAGAGCCACGTCAAGTCAAATGAGTTCAGCCTTTATCATCCTTTTTTTTTCCTGTTTTTTCCTCATTTTCATCAAAGCTGTGTCTCCAGCTGTCCAGAGTTCTTCTGTTTCTTCCTTGAGTTCATCCTTCACCTCCAGAGGGAGGAAAGGGAGGGTTGTGCTGGCTTCTGCACATCATGGCATGGTCAGGGCTGAGCTGACATCCTTCCTTGCTTTCTGGCTCCTCTCTTCCGCTGGTTTTCCTCTGTGCCACCCCACCAGTGGGGATCAGGGTCCCATCCAGCCCAAACCATTCTCAGATTCCGTGTTTTTTCTGCTGGGGACTCCTCATGGATCTCTGATGTGTAAATAGATGTCTCTAACCTGTTGGTAGGACTTTCAAGGTCTTCAGGTCCCAGGAACTTGCCACTGCGGAGAAAGGTGTCCTGGAGAAGATGGTATGGACAGATGGACATGGTGATGCTCAGAGGTTGGATTTGATGGTCTTGGAGGTCTTTTCCAGCACAATTTAATGAGTCTGTGATTCTATTTATCACATCTGCTGGACAAATCCAACACCGGCTGAAATGTCACTAGTGAAAAATGCAGCTTTTTTCCCCTCATGGAACAATCCACAGAAAAATGATGAACTCTTTGGTTTCCCCTGTATTTATGACCTGACTTTGCTATGTGGTGTGTTGTTTTTTTTTAAATTTCTGTTCTTTGTATTTCAAAGCTGTGGAGGAGAACTCCTGCCAGCTGCATGGAGCCTTTTAAAAATGCTTGTGACTACAGAGCTGTAATTTATTCTGGAGCGAAGTTGTTTTCTGCCGGAGGCTGGAGAGGCAGTGCCTTTACCAGAGGTTTATGGTGGCAGTTTGTGACAGCCAGAGGCCACTGGATATGAAAACAGAGTAGTAACCTTGTGGCAGAGGAAGCCAGAGAGCTAATTAAGGGATGGAGGGGTTATTTATGGTGCTCTGTGCTTACTATTTCAGATATATTTACAGGCATTCTCAATGCTGCCTTTACAGCCATGCCCTCGCACTTTTGTTCCCTCCAATTTTGAATTGCACGAGCACGTGCTCATAACACTGCACATATGGAAAGGTTTTAAGGGAGTTTGAGTGGGCCTGGGATGCAGATACCCCATGTATTATGTGGAATGTATAGGTAACAAAGTGTCTTCTCTGCAAAATCTTCCATTAAGAACAGGGTTGCAGTAGCTGGAACTGGTGAGAGACTAGGAGATTCCCTTTGCAGACAGAATGTCTGAAATGTCCTTGTCCTCCACCACTTGGTCTTCTCAACCTTCACTGTGGTTGTCATTTAATCTTACATTTTGAAGGAGTAGGAATAATTTAAAACTTCCAGGGAATTACACTGCCTCTCATTCTCATTAGGTATGACAATGGCACTGTAAGTAATTTTTTCTAGCAACTACCTTGTGCAGTTCAGAAGTTCAAAAGGCATTAAGTTCAAAAGCTTGAGACCTTCGATCCAAGCAGGGGAAAAAAAAATTAAACCAAGTAGCAGATGGTTTGTGATGATTTAATTATCTTTAAAACAGAAAATACTCATCAAGCCTAAGAGGGCTTAAAGAAAATTGGTGGAAGAACTTTTAGCTTAATGTGGTTTGGTTATTCAGTGTATGTTATAAGGAATGAAACTGGGGGGGCAGGGGGAACCTCACAAAAATCCCTGAGGGGTTTTGATCCCTGAATCTTTGCAGGGACCTCCTGAGGTCACTGAGGGCAATGTCTCTCTTCCAGCAGGCTGCCCAAGGATGTCCAAGGATGGAGGCTCCAGAACCTCTCTGAACAACCTGTTCAAGTGTTTTACCACCCTCACAGGAAAAAAAAAAAAAAGTTTTATTGTATTCAGAAGGAATTTTATGGGTTTTAATTTGTGCCCATGGCCTGTGCCATCACCTGTGAGTGCAACCCATGAAAATCCCATGGACTTTAGGACAACCAGGTCTTTTAAGTGTTGCTTAAACCTGGTAATTCCTGTACCACCAAGGGAAGTTTTCCTTGTTCCAGACTTTTCCTCTGGTGTCAGAATCCTGGGTCTCCTGAAGGATTGTCTTAAACAGGCATTAATTCTATCTCATGTGCCACCAGGTGCATCGTTTGGGGCTGGCACCAGAAGCTCCTCAGCCTTCCTCTTTCCTTTCTTCATGTCCCTTGCCAAATTCAACTCCATTCCTGCCCCTCTGCCTTGCTTAGGCTATATGGCAGAGCCTTCCTTCCTGCTTTTGGGGGTGGGGGAAGAAGGCTTAATTCCAGTTTGGAGTCACTGTTCTTCAAAGAGCAAGTTACTGACAAATAGTACCTCCTCCTGCACGTGTTCAATAAGCATGTTTTGATTTAGCTTTATTAGATTTCAAATCAATATTGCTTTCCATACCGATGACCTAATGCTCATTAAACCTTGCCCTGACAACTTTCAAAGTGCAGCAGTTTTTTTATAAGCCTGTGAAACAGGGGCAGCCTGACTTCTTTGAAAGGGAGGAAATGGATTGGTTTTCCTACACTGGAGTTAAAAACAGGTCACATTTGGGGTTTTTTTTATATCCCAAATAAAAATCATAAGCAGTCCGAGACAGAGAACTGTGAATTTTATCTTGCCAAAGAACTTAGAAAAAGCGTGAGTGAATTACAGTGAAAATTAAATTGTTCCGTTTGGTTTAGGAGCTGCTCTCTGAGACATTTACTGTGTCTGGTTAGTGAGGTCAGGTTAGAGCAATGCTGCTCTTGAGGTTTGCTCTCAGCTGCTGCATGGCCTGAGTTTCCTCTTAACCAGCTCTGTAACAGTGCAGATTTTCAAGTAATCATTATTTGAGCCTCACAGATGAAATTCAGGGAGTGATTCGAGGTGATGTTGAGCAAAAAAGCATCAGAAACTCCACTGGAGGGTTTGTGTCCGCCGTATTCTTTCAGAATTTAATTGCCAAACATCTCGAGGGTTGCTCTGCGGGATGGTGAATGGAGTAGCATCTGGAGGCGTGCAGGAACAAGAGGCTCTTGTTCCTTCAGAGGGAAGATGAAGTGGAAAATAAGGGGGTGTCGTTACTTGGGACACGGGATTCCAGAGCCCTTAATGCCAAGGTTGCCCTGGCCTTTCCCTGAGGTTGTTCCGGGCCTGGATTGTGAGGCAGAACAGCTCGGAGCTGCTCTTTCCCGCAGGCCTGGAGAGCGGGGCGTGCTTTCCCCGTGTTGGGGTGCCGCTCACCGATGGCTCTGGGCTCCTTTCAGATCATCTCCAAGCCCACGGAGCCGGCGCGGCAGCACGAGAGTCACCCCGAGGAGACGGAGGAGGAGCTGCGGGAGCACCAGGCCCTGCTGGAGGAGCCCTACGGCGACAGGGCCGCGGGCCAGAAGGAGCCCCCGGCGCTGGCCAGCGTGGTGCAGGTCAAGCAGGAGCCCATCGAGAGCGATGAGGAGGAGGCAGAGCCGCAGCAGGAGCTGGAGTCCGGGCAGAGGCAGGCGGAGCAGGAGCTGCTCTTCCGCCAGGTCTGGCTCTTGGGTGGTTGTGAGATGGGGATTTGGGCTTAGAAGTCACTTTGTGCCACTCCCAGGGGAAGCTCTGAGGGGAGGCAGCTGCCCAGGGTTGGCTGGGTGAAGGGACCCGATGAAAAATCAGGTGATTCCTTCCCTGGAGTCACCAGGGAGACAGTTTGTTTACCAGCTGACAAACCCCAGGGAGAAGAGTCTGGATCACCTGCACAAAACACAGTCACTGTTCTTACTGAGACACCTCCATGGCCATTTCTTTGGGAAGATAAAGTGTCTCCTAACATTTCTGAGTGCTAGCTATCAGCAGGAGATTGTATTTTGCTTTAATGATATAAAACCAGTTTCTCTCCAGAGAAAGACTGCATGTGAGAGAACAGGACAAATGGAGAGTGTTCCTGCTTTGGAATTAGAGATCCTGGAGCCTCCAGTCAGGCTCACTTTTGAGAGAAAGCACCTGAGGCTTGTGGATTGCAGGTGGTAAAACCAATAACAAGGGAGCACAGTGTAATGGAACTGATCTGTGTCCTTCAGGAATGTCATTGGGATGTTGCCCAGGAGCTGCATTTGCCCAGGAAAGCTGTGGCCACATCATCCCTGGAAGTATCCAAGGCCAGATTGGATGGGGCTTGGAGCAACCTGGGATAGGGGTTGCTAGGGCCCAAACTGTCCTGGGATTCTCTGTGTTGCTGATGATGGAGCACTATCACTGATACAATTCCTCTGAAAGTGTAGCCTCTCCACCTTAATCCTGAATCCATGGTCACACCTCAAGAGTCTTTAAAATAGTATCTCCTCTACAACTGTTTTGCCTCAAAGCAGGAGGAATAAATAGAGGGAATGGGATGGGACAGCCATTCCCTTCTGACCAGGAGCCTGTCCAGCTGATGGTGTGGCTGCACAGAGAACCAGCCCAGTTAAGAGCTCCCTCTCCAGCCTAGGATCCAGTTGAGTGGGACTCCTTCCATGGCCCAGACTGTTTCACTGTTAAATGCCCCAGTGCCATGGGGTGGGTGCACAGGGGGAGGAAGATGAGGGAGTGGTGGGGAAGGATGGAGCTGCCTCTGCCAGTGACCCTGTCTGTGCAGCAGGCTCAGGGTTGGGGCTCCACATGCTGTGCCTGCCTGACTTGGCCCTAGAAATGTCACTTGTTTTTTTTTGCTCTGTGTGAAGGAGTCCAAGCCTGAGAGCCTTCAAAAACCCTTTTGGGAAGGCCCTTTCAGCAACTGCCTACTTCTCTTGCCCACAGCAAGCCCTGCTTCTGGAGCAGCAGCGGATTCACCAGCTGAGGAACTACCAGGCGTCGCTGGAGGCCGCTGGCATGCCCGTGTCCTTCGGGGGACACCGGCCCCTGTCCCGGGCACAGTCCTCCCCCGCCTCAGCCACCTTCCCCATGTCCGTGCAGGAGCCACCCACTAAGCCAAGGTTCACAACAGGTGAGCTTTTCTGGGGGCTGGGGGGGCTGTGGTGACTGGGTTGTTTTGTATTGAGCTGTTCTGAAAGGATGTGGAAAAGGGGGATTGGCTTTAGGCTGGGAGTAGGGTTAGATGGGATATTGGGAAGGAAATCCTTCCCTGGGAGGGTGCTAAGGTTGCCCAGAAGAGCTGTGGCTGCCTCTGGATCCCTGGAAGTGCCCAAGGCCAGATTGGACAGAGCTTGGAGCAGCCTGGTATGGTGGAAGGTGTCCCTGCCTTGCCCTCGAGATGAGCCATAAGGTCTTTTCCAAGCCAAAGCATTCCATGGTGATGACTCTGTGATTATCTTTCCTATGAATTTCTTCTTTTCTTTCACTGCAAATCCATAAGCATGGGCTCTGCATCTCATCCCCATTTGGGTACTCCATAACATCCTGCCTTCCTCAAGGAGTAGACTGAGTCATCCCTGTTGTCCTGCTTGTCCCTTCCCCAGAGCAAAAATACCCTGCAGACACCAGAAGCAGCACAGCCCTGGAGATGTGTTTCCAGGCAGACAGAGCCAGTCCCAGGCTGTGACAGAGCTGATTTAGAGGCAGGACAGGGAGAGCCAGTGCTCCTGAAGGACAGAGTGCCAAATGCAATGCTGGCTCTGTTTCCTCCACCTTCTCCAGTCCCTCCATAACCTCATGCCATCAGTTTTCCACTCTGGGCTCCCTGGCAGCCTCCTCTGCTCCTGTCACACGGGTTAGGAAAAACGAGGTGAGCTGGTGATTTCAGCTTGTCTTGAGGAGAGACCAAAGTGTGTTTACTTACCTGTGGAGGAAAATGATGAGTGCAATCCTGTCTTTGGTGGAAAGCACAAGTGCAAAATAGGGGTTGATTCCCATCCCTGGAAGTGTTCACAGCCAGGATGGAGCACCCTGGGATAGTGGAAGGTGTCCCTGCCCATGGCAGGGGGTGGGAATGGGATGGACTTAAAGGTCTCTCCCAACCCAAACCATCCTGGGATTCTGTGATCTTTCCACCAAGATTAAAAACAAAAAACTTAATTGTTCTTCCTGTATCCTGACAGTGAACTTTTCTCCTCCAAAATCCTTCCTGCCTCTTCATTGCCCTTAGCAGCAGCTGAAAGTTGATTTTCCATGCAAAATGTTTAGCCCTGTGCTGGGTGATGAGGACTGATTTTGAAGTCCGCCTTCTTCCCCAAATGTCAGGCTCTTACTTTGTCAATGAACAGTTTGCAACGTGATGTGTTCCCTGGGAAAAGGAAGAGGAAAAGGGGAGGGGAAAAAAAAAGATCCACAATGCCCAAATAAGAACAACTCAAGATGTTATTTCCCTTTCACTTCTGCTTTTATTCCATTTTTAACCTACACTTCTTGCATCACTCAGCTCAGTGCTGCGAGTCGGGTTTATTTTCAGGCCCTGGTGGTGTAGTAATAGTGGCATACTCAGTGTTCCTCAGCTCCTGGCTGCAGGCAGGGTGGAAGTGTGTGCTGTCAGCTCTGGAAAAACCCCCAGAATGGCTCAAGTTTTGCAAATCAGCCCTTTAAAATCCCTATTTGTTGTTAACGCTGAACCCCAGAATTTCAGCAGAACTGCATTTCTAAAGCAGTCAGTTCTGGCCAGATTAAACAATTTTGGCTTTTGCCAAGGGTCCAAGGAAAAGTCCCCTGGCTCAGGGTCAGAGCAGATGAAATTTGAGCTTCTAATATGCTTAACCCCAAAACTTGGGGCTTTAAAAACAAGGAAACCTGGCCCTGCTTGAAGGAATTTCTTCTCTTTCTTCCCTCCTCCTCCTCTTCCTCCTCTGCTGGTATTGAAGCTGCCCCATCAATCACATACAAGCCTCTGAGCATACAATAAATAACATTTCCTACCAGAGGACCTGTGTTTGACTCAGATCTGTGCCTCTGAATTTCATTCAGAATTGCAGGCAGCAGTAAGAGTGCAGATTTGAGAGCTGTGCTGCTTGGAAAACATGCTGTTCCAATATCAGGATTTATGTTCCTCGGAGGCAGGGATTGAAAAACTAAAAAAGTGGTTTAAAATAAGAGGTGGAGTATCACACTGCTTTTATCCAGTGCTGCACAGAGTGATGAGGTGCAGAATGCTTCAGGTAATTTACCTATAAAATACAGTTTTCACAGCATTTATCCAGGTTAAGATTCCAGGGGCTTGACTTTTCCTTTCCATCTACATTTATGCTGGGTGAATGGAGGAGGTGAAACACAATAAAATCAGGCATTCAGTGGCACTAATTAAGGTGCAAAGCTTAAAGGTAAGACCTCTGTACTAGTCCTAAAGCTAGCCCTCGGTCTGGTTTAATTAACCTGCGCTGTCTGCATGGGAGAAGCAGGGAAATGGACTTCCATGGGCATGGAAGCAGGAGAAAGGGGAGGAAAGGCATTTCAGCTGCTGAGCATGTGTGTGAGTTAAATTGCCTCATGTTTTGTTGAAGTTGTGCATGGTGGCATGTCGGAGATTGTGTTTCTGGAGGTGGATACTAAAGCTTAATCACTGGGATTGAGCTGTTCTTTGGAAGGCAGGAAATTAAAGTCTTGGGTGTTTTTCAAAAGCAAGCAGTGCTGAAGGGCATCAGGCTTCTTTTTCCCGAGGAAAATCCATCTAGCTGATAAGTGGCTGCTTTGGAGACCGATCCTAAGGCAGAGGAGTGAGGATTAGAATCGGTGTGATGGTTTGGTGAGAGGGGGCTGCAAGAAGCAAACTTCATTGAATGGCCCTAATTAAGCCAACCGCGATCACTCTGGATGTGAACGTGTCCCTTAAGAGATCAGTCCTTGTCCAACAGACAAAGGAATGGTTCCTCCCTTTCATGTTTGGGATATTATATAGAAATACAGAAAGCTGATGCTTTCCCTGGACTGAGTTAGCTCCAGACAGCTGGAAGTTCTGGGGCTGATGTGTATTTTATTTTCCTGTCTCTCTCGGTGACCAACACCTGAGACTTCAAAGGTCTGGGGGAAAGAGCCGCATACTGCAGCTCTCAAACATGATGTCCATTACTCCACATCAAAGTGAAAGCCGTGCCCTTCCTGGATCCTTCCAGCAATCAGTTTGATGTCCCGAAGCATGACATTTAATTTTCCTTCCTCCCAGAAAGCCGGTCCTTGAACTTGCCCTCTCTAGCTCGAGCAGCCCCCGTGACTTTAATGAATACTCGTGCCTGCCCTGTTCTACACACTTGAATAAGGATCCTCAGGTTAGGCCATTAATTTGCATAGTTCCAATTATCCAGTCTCTGATCTCCTGCAAAAATGGGTCCACAAATTATTCTGATGTTCTGCATTAAAGGGTTTTTTCCTTTCTGATGAAGGCATTTATTCTCTCCTGTGCAGAGCAATATAATTATCTGAACCTCAGATCATATGTTTGTTCTGCCAAGAAAAGCCGGTTGGTTTTGCTTTAGTGCTGACCTTTAAAAGTGATTGTTCTTATGTCTGAAAAGAGTCTTGCTTCCAGCACCACTTCAATTAACTTGTAACAGCCAGTGTAGTTTTGTATTTTGAGCTTAAATTGCCGAGCTTCCCTTTGTGCGTGTGTGTGTGTGTGTGTGTGTGTGTGTGTGTGTGTATGAGTGTGTGTGAGTGTGTGTCTGCAGCTGAGTGTCCCCAGCCGCAGGAAGGAGCTGGAAACAGCTCCCTTTTCCACTGGGCTGGTTTCTAGGAAAGAGAAACGATGAGTGATTGCAGCACAGAAGAACTTCACTGAGACACTGCTGTTATCATGAGTCCTTGGGAAAGGAGAAACCATTGATGAACCAAGTTCTGTAAACACCAGGTTTGGGGTGGGATGGATCCCTTGAACGGTTTGTGCTGGAAGGGACCTTGAAGATGATCCAGTTCCATGGGCAGGGACACCTCACAGTATCCCAGGCTGCTCCAAGCCCTGTCCAACCTGACCTTGGACACTTCCAGAGGTGGGACAGCCAGGGCTTCACCACGCTCACAGGGAAGAATTTCTTCCATAAATCCAATCTAAATTTCTTGTAGTTTAAGACCTTGCAGTAGTTCAGTTAGACTCAGACTGAGGTGAGAGTTTCTCCTCAGGTGAATTCCAAGCTTGCCTTGGCCCAGCAGCTCCTGGTGATGTTTGATGCTGGGATTCAAACACTGGAGAACTTGAGAGAGCTTTGCAGCACAACCTCCTGCGGGTGAACTTGGGCTGACCCGAGGGCAGCCAATTAATTACCAGGGCTCTGTTCTCTCCCTGGAACAGGGAACCCTTTTTGGGGTTGTTTTTTCCCCTCTGCACTCACCTACAGCAGAGTGAGGAGCTGCCAGACACCTCCCCTGAGGCTGCAGACCTGCGAGGGAGCCAAGATTCCCGGTGGCACACCCAGCCAGTAGGTGGGACTGCAGCTGCAGCCAGGCCTGGGAACGTGCAGGGGCACAGCCGGGGCTCCAGCTGCTCTCAGGGTTCCCTTGGAGCTCCCAGACTGTGCTGTGTGTCTGTGCTGGAGCTGGGAACACGGATCCAGCTGCGCCCTCCACAGCGTGGGTGTGCTCGCCTGGGATTTCCCTGCTATCCTTGGACATGGGGGGCTGGGACCAGATTCTGCCACTGCTGCCTTCAGAGGCTTTGGCTTCTCATCAGGACCTTTGCATTCTGTAGAAATCAATGGAATAACTTGGGGTGGAAAGGACCTGAGAAGTTACTGCTTTTAAATCTCTGCCACAGGCAGGGGGGACACCTTCCCCTGTCCCAGGCTGCTCCAAGCCCCAATGTCCAGCCTGGCCTTGGGCACTTCCAGGGATCCAGGGGCAGCCCCAGCTGCTCTGGGCACCCTGTGCCAGGGCCTGCCCACCCTCCCAGGGAACAATTCCTGCCCAAAATCCCATCCATCCCTGCCCTCTGGCACTGGGAAGCCATTCCCGGTGTCCTGTCCCTCCCCAGCTCTCCTGGAGCCCCTTTGGTTCTGGAAGGAGCTCTAAGATCCCCCTGAAGCATTGTTTTCTTCAGGCTAAACATCCGCAGTAGAGAGGCCCCAGCCCTTGGACCAACGTTCATACAGATACTTCCTGCAAGAAATCTTTTTCTTGGGGGGAAATCCCCAAAATAATGGCTTTTATTTTGTTCTCTGGAGCTTCTGGCTGAGGGAAAGATGGATTTAAACATTTGACTTCGTGTCTTTCACTCGAGAGAAACAATTAAAGGTCTTCTGTCACGGGGGAGGACCTGCTGTTTTCTTCTGGCTGGAATATTGGCTATGGAATCCCAAACTTCCCATCCAAAATCGTACCCAGGCAACTCTGGAGCATGAGTCAAAGTCTCCTGCGTTGTTCTCATGCCATAAATCCTTAGGAATGCAGGGGATTTAGCTGCCTGAGCCCCTCATTCGGGTAAACACCTCCCAGTAACGATGCCCAAGTGGGCGCTAATGGCTTTAATTAACAATTAACCGCGGTGCGAGGCCTTCAGCAGGAGCTGCTTTGTGAAACACAGCGCCGGGAGGGACTTGGTCCTTCTGGGTTCTGATCCCAGGCCCTGGAGGCGTTTTGGCAGCCAGGGAAAAAGCCCCAGATCCCATTCCTGTGCCGGCAGCTCTGCGCTCACACAGGTGTTGCCTCCTCCTGGCATTTAATTTCACATCTTGGTTCTGATTTCCTTCTCATATCCCTTGAGGATTTCCATGGGAAGGGGTGGATGCAGGTTTGGGTTTTGTTCCCTGTAGCTCCCGATCGAACACAAAATTTTGGCCTACAGCTGTTGACTGCAAAGTGCAAAATACACATTTTTTTTTTCCCCCCCTGTAAAGTGGCAAATTTTTGGTGGTTTTTTTTTTTTTTTAACCCGAGAGCAATTTTGTCCCCTGTGCTGCAGGCCTTGTGTACGACACGTTGATGCTGAAGCACCAGTGCACCTGTGGAAACACCAACAGCCACCCCGAGCACGCGGGCAGGATCCAGAGCATCTGGTCCAGGCTCCAGGAGACGGGGCTGCGGGGCAAGTGTGAGGTGAGGGAAACACCAGAAAAAGCCACCTTATTCTTTCTATTAGTATTATTAATATTATTGCATTATTATTGCTTTATTTTTGCTTTACTGATGTTATTAGTAATATAATAATATTACTAATAATATCAGTAATTTTATTGATAACAATATCAATAATGATATATTAAAATAGCAATAATATTATTACTATTATTATTACTATTACTATTATTATTACTATTATTACTTATATATTGTAATATAAATAATATATATTATATAAATACTACCTATATCATTTTATATTACTCTGTTAATATAGTAAAATTATATATGCTATTTAAACATTAAATATTTATTAGTTGTTATTTAATTTTTATTATATCATTTTATAATATGTATTTATAAATTTATATAGTACAATATATAATTGTATGTATTATATATTATTTTATAAAAAATATTCAATTAAATATTCAATTAAATATTTTACAATTGATATATGATATATTCTTTATTTACTATAATATATTATTATATTATTTATATATAGTATATTTATATATTAATATTATTTATATTATTACTATTTTTACTATTATTACTATTATTATTATTATGCCAAAAAAAGAGCAAGATGTGATGCAATCCTCTCATTTGTTATCCCTCACAGTTATTCCAGCAAAAGCAGCAGCTTTTCTGTGTTTTAATAGCTTTTTTTGTACTCTTTGATAAGTGATGGTCAAGCTGTGCTGTAGAAGGAGTGGGGGTAGGAGGATGGCACTGAGCACCATTCCATCACAAGATTAAATTAGATTTATTTGATACATTTTAAGAGCAAGCAAAAGGAGAGCAAAGCTTAGATATTAAACAGAAAGATTGAAGGTTAATAATTAAAGTTAACGAGTGGTTATTAGTTACAGCTAACAGCAGTGGTGATAAATGGGGGTTTAAGTGTGTGTTCATCGATTCTTTGGGCACCTGAGGGGCATAAATATTTCTGCAATGTCAGGATCTGGCTGGGAATGTTCCCAAGCCATCAGATAAGACATCCACGTGGTGGCAGCATTACCATTGCCTAAATTTCTCTGTCCTGCCCTTGTTTATCCCTTTCAAACCCTTCTCTGGCTGCAGATACCCATTTAATCGAATTTTGGGGTGATTTAGGACCAAATAAACCTCTTTGCTAATTGCCTGGCCTCCCCAATGGGTGTTACAGATGTTCTGTAATGTATAAGTTCGTCACTGTAAGATCCAAAGCAATATTATTGTCCTTATTTTCCAGTTGATTTCCTCAAGGAGGATTTATTTTGCTTAATTTCCATGCTTACCTTGGTACTTTTGGCTGCTCTCACGACGGGAGCTGTTGTTGATTTTCACCTGCTCTCCAGCTGTGTTTCCCTCCTGACCACTGGTGACTTTCAGCCTCACCAGACTCTTCTTTTTTTTCCAAAAATGCTAAATTACTGCCTTCATTCTCTGATGGCTTTCTCCAAGCTCTGCCCTGCCATCTCAGGATGCGCTCCCTTATCTCTCTGGTCACTCTTCCTTCATCCCCACCACCTCCTGCCAGCACCTCTCCTAAAGTTTCCTTCTTTATCTTGAATGAATCTGAAAATGGCTTTCAATGCCGAGCAAATAAATGTTGCAAGTAAAGGATTAACCCAAAACGTGAATTTTTCCACCTCAGGACCCATTTTTGTGTTTTGCTGTCTTGATGGCTTGCTAAGGAAACAGAAAAGACATCCAAGCATTTCACCAGTGATTTCACCACCCTTTTTCTTCCCTTTCCAGTGCATCCGTGGCAGAAAGGCAACGCTGGAAGAACTGCAGACGGTTCACTCGGAAGCCCACACGCTGCTTTATGGCACAAACCCTCTGAACAGGCAGAAACTGGACAGCAAGAAGCTTCTAGGTATCGTTCCCTGGGGGGGAATCCCTCTTCCTGACCCCTGGGTGAGATGCTGGGGTTCCCTTCATTTTTAGCCCTGTGCAGCTCCAAGAGTATCGTTTCCAGCTCCATGCAGGGACAAGATTTATCTCCCCCTCTTCAGGCAGATCCCTAAACTCTAGGCAGCTTAAACCTCCTTTCTTTGATGTCTTCAGAACCTAAAAGGATGTTTTCCTGAGGAGGAGATCCAGTTCAGGCAGTTTGTTTCATCCTCGGGCACTCCATGTGTTAGAGAGTTATCCATGGCTAAGGAGGGAACTGGAACACCTTCCCAAGGGTTTGCAGCCCCCAAAGAGCTGCACAGGCATTGACAAACCCCTGTCAGGTTTGTATGGATAGTCACCAGGAGACGTGCAGGGGCCTCTACATTTGTTTAATCTGGAGTGGGATTGTTCATCCCTTTCACTGGAGACCAAATCTTCCTGGAGCAGAGCCATGTCTGTTGTAAAATAAAGACAAAAATATCAAAAAAATTATATTTTCCCAGCCAAAATTCGAAGGGATGGGTGTTCAGATAACCAGCCCTCCAGAGCAACCAAACAATAGCACCTCTGTGGGGTCATCATCACCTCCCTTTACTTCCTGCCTTTTTGCAGCAGCAGGCTGGAGGGGCAGTTTGGGAAGTTTTCACATGGGAATCAGCATTGAAAAAAAAAGACAGCTCTGGAATCTAGACATTGAGAAAGTTTATTTTGGGATTAGCCTGATTTTGGGTGATGTAAAGAGAGGTTTAACTCCATGGCCTTCATGATGTGGTCACAGCAAAGGAGCTGGAAAGATTCTGCTTGTGTGTTCATGAGCTCTGAGAGAGAGAGGCCATTAGCCAGGGGTTATAGACACAGCACGGTGTTTATAGCTCACTTCCCACCTCTTTAAAGCCAGAGAACCCAAAAGTAGACAGGATGATAGTAGATGATAGCTCCATTAGGATGTAAACTTTCAGGAATTTATGATGTCATGTGCTCTGGAGTGGAAAACTCGGTGAATCTTCCTCAGGAGATCTGAGAAGATTCTCTTGGGATATTTCTCCACTCACTCCATCCTTGGCTCCGGGCATGATCTGTCTCACCAGTGCCACTGATGCCTTTGGAGATACAGTTTCTTTGGATAGTATTTCTGGGGGGACACTCAAGTTGCTGAACCATTCCTGATGGTTTCTGTAGAGAACCTGTGGGAGAAGCAGCCCTTGCTCTGCCCCTGCTCCTGTAGTTCTGTGCCCCCCATGGCTTTAATGCTCATTTTAAAGTGTTTGCAGAGATCAAGTTTAATTCTATAGAGAAGAGAAATTCTAACACCTGAGGGCTTTCCAGTACAGAACATGCTGTTTGGATACAACTTGCAGACAAGCAGGAGGTCATGTCCCCAAGGGTCTCCAGTAGAAGGAAATGTCCAGTAGCTCCTAACTGGGCTTTGAGCTGTTTTCCTAAGCCCACTTGGCACCATTTTAGCCTGGAGATGCTGACGGTGGCACTGGCTGCCAGCCCCCATAACCCCTTTTCTCTCCTGATGGCTTCCACAGGGCAGGACCTGAGCCAGGATATCAGAGAAAAGCTCTGTGTGGAGAGGTGAACACGCCTGTGAAAAACACCTCCTTCATCCATCCTCTCCCTTTTGGGGTACAAAAGGCTTTTTAAATTGACAAACCAGCTTGGTGGGGTTCTTTGGAACATGTTAGAGGGTGGGTTTAGGGCAGGTTTGAAGGCTGAGGGCAAAGCTTTGTGTGAGGTTTAGGGATGCAAATGGGAGTTTGTTAGGGCTGAGTGTCTTGGCAGGTGTTGATGTCTCCATGTAAACCCTTCACCTTTGATACCTCTTTGAGGAAGAAAAAAGCCTGAGAAACCTCAGCCTGCAAGGGAAAAGGCTTTTCAGGACACAGGGTGTTTCTTGTTAAGCTTCTGCAAATGAAAAGGGGGATGTGCCTTCATGGAATCCCAGAATCCCAGAACGGTTATGGTGGGAAGGGACCTTAAAGCTCATCCCATTCCACCCCCTGCCATGGACAGGGAACACCTCCCACTGTCCTGGGCTGCTCTGAGCCCTGTCCAGCCTGGCCTTGGGCACTTCCAGGGATCCAGGGGCAGCCACAGCTTCCCTGGGCACCCTGTGCCAGGGCCTCACCATGCTCACAGGGAACAATTCCTTCCCAATATCCCATCTAACCCTGCCCTCTTTTAGTTTAAAGCCATTCCCCCTTGTCCTGTCAAGGATACATAATACAAACCCATTGGACAGCGGAAATACTTGGAACCTGTTGGACCAGTTGAAACTTAGGCAAATAAGGCTGCTTTTAATTTGTGGGGAGCAACCATAAATTGTTGTCAAGAAGATAAATATGGAAATAAAGGGTGGATTAGCAGTGAGAGATGGGACAGGAGGTCTGAGGCAGGATCATCTAAGTACTTTCATGTGGATCTAATCAAAGACGGCATCTCACTTTGAGATCAGATGAGTCCAGATGCATGAAGTCTTTTTGCTGTAATAGAATCCCAAATGGTTTGGGTGGGAATGGACCTTGAAGCCCATCCCATCTCACCCTGTGCCGTGGGCAAGCAACACCTTCCACCAGACCAGGTTGCTCAGAGCCCTGGGGAATTTTGAATGGAGGATAATTTGCTCACACGCGAGCCCAGAAAGCGATGTTACATTTCCTACAGATCCAAAATTAGCCCTGCAGATGGTTTTCTCAGTTTTTCTCAAATTCTCCTTGTTGGTTTTGCTATTTCAGTCAAAACACATGTTTTTTCTTTGCTTGCCACTGCTTTATTTTTCTGTCTTCCTCTTTTATGAAGCCCATGCTCTCCAGAGTCATCTAGTAACTGCAAATGAGTGATAATTGGGGTGTTTTTATGATTTCCTGTCCTCCCTCAGTGGGAAGGGGTTAAAGGGCTCATCCGAGAAGACATGCTGAGTGATTGTTGGTGGCATCTTGCTTGTGTAAACATCTGACAGCACCCAAACCTTGCCTAAAAATGAGTGATTTATAGACAGCTTTTGCAGGAGCCCAAGTGTGCACACTGTGTGTGTGTTGTAACAGGGCTGGCTGGGAATGGGAAGAAAACCCCCAGTGTGTGTTTCTGTGCTCAGCAAGATTGCAGAATTGCCACAAAACCGGCCCCAGAATCTGGTGACCTCTGACTTTTCGACTCACAGAGTGCACTTCTTTTTTCCCCCACAGGTTCCCTAACGTCGATGTTTGTCAGGCTGCCTTGCGGTGGTGTCGGGGTGAGTAAATTCCCTTTAATGTGTAAATAATGTCCTGTTTGTTCTCTCCCGGTCCCCTCTACCAAAAATTGCTGCTTTGCATTCCATGGGGTGGGTAATTGCAGCCAGATGCTGCCCATGAGCAGCCAGGGGCTGCCTGGGGCACAGGGTGCCTCGGCCTCACGTGCCTTTCTTCAAAAGCAGCGTGAGGATTTCAGAGTTGTTCCAGAGAGCCCAGGAGTGTGTGACACTCAGAGGCATGTTTAGGAGGAAAAACCTCATTTCCCAGGCAAGGATGTTGAATGGTGGAGGAGCTGCTGTGTTTGGAAGCAGCCCTTGCATCCCAAAGTGCTTTTTTTTCTCCGTGGAGAGCAGGACATGCTCGTGCTGTGGAGCTGTTCCACCCTCAGTCTCGGGGCTCCAGAGCTGCCTGCTTCCCACGGCAGGTGGGAAATGTGGCCATGAAATAGGACAATATTTGGGACTGTATGTATTGTATTCCTGTGAATGGCAAGTTTGATGCATCACTGCCCTGGAATGAAATGGCATTTGGCATCTTTTATTCTCCAGCTCCAGGATAATCCACATAGATTCTCCAGGAGGTGACTAAAATCCACCTCCATCCCTGATGGAAAAGCTGAATGTTACTTTTCAGCTGTTAAATTTCCATATAATCAGGCTTTTTGCTGTTGTTTATTCCCATAAAGCTGAAAAAACCCCAATCCCCAGATACCTTGTTTTGAAGGTTCTCTTGTTTTCCTTTGAAGCCTGAAAGCTTAAAAGTTTCCCTTTCAAGTCAGACTTTCTGCTCCAGAGTTTCTGTGGAGGGTGACAGGACAGAAAATCGTGGAGAACAGGAAGGGGAAAAGAATGAGAAGAGACAATAAAAGGCATTGTGTTTGAAAATTCACAGTGGTAGTTCTGCTGCATAATTGTAGCTCATGAGGTTGAATTTTCAAGGTCTGGATTCTGTTATGGAAATGAAACAAAATTGTTTTCTTCCTGAGTCTTTGCAAAATCGCTGCTTTGAAAATTATCCCGTCAGGAAAAAAAAAAAAAGAAAAAAAAAAGAATAATCGTCGTTTATTCGTACCGCCACTCGTGAAGATATTTTATTTTGTATTGTAAATATGCTGCAGTCGCCTAATTCATGGCAAATTTTTGGCCAGAGCTTAAAAGGTTTGGATTTACTCTGCCCTGCAGTCAGGCATGCCATTCAAAGCAAGAAAAAATTATCATTTGCAAATGAAGACTGAATGGTAACAAGCAGAGACAGTGTCTGAGCCCAGCACAGGCCCAGAAGTCTTGCATTAAATCCCAAATCAGGGCAGGAAACGCCTCAGTGCTGCTATTCCTGATATGCTCCCAATAAAGATGGTGCTTGCTGCTTGGTTGTCTCCACAGACCCTTAATGTTGAATATTTGCTGACTTTGGTGCAGTGTTATAGCAATCTTATCAGCAGAGCCTGTGCCAGGGCCTCCCCACCCTCACAGGGAAGAATTCCTTCCTGATAGCCCACCTCATCCTGCCCTCTCGCAGTGGGAAGCCATTCCCCATTGTTTGCCAAAGATTTTTCAGGGGGCAAACATAATGTCATAAATCAAAAGGAAAGGGGGGAAAAAATCAAAAAAATGAGTAGGATAATGTGGGACAGATCCTCAGATTTATACCCGAACAGGATAAAGGTAAACGATGGCTGATGGTTGGAGTTCAGGAGCTGAGGGTGTTGTGTGAAATCATGGGCTGGAAAGCTTAGAAACCAGGTTCTTTTCCTGTAAGCAGTCAAGTGTGGCTCTCTTCCTTTGGGGATGTTGTGTAGATGCAAAGGAAGGATGGGCCTGGAGTGGGGTGCAGGGCAGCTCTGGGGCAGAGACTCCCCTGTTTTGCCTCAGGATAGAGGATGGAGCTTGGACAGCCATGAATTGTCCTCAGCAACGAGCGAGACAAAGGACAGGCAAGAGAGTGAATCACAGAATATCCAGAGTTGAAAGCACCCACAGGGATCATTGATCCAACCCCCGGCCCTGCACAGACACCCCAACAATCCCACCATGTGCATCCCTGAGAGTGTTGTCCTGGAGCTCCAGGAGTGAGGCAGCAGGAAAACAGTTCAGAGCAAATCCCTTCATCTTGTGACACCTTTCAAATTCTCTCTTTAAATTAAAAACTCAGTCTCAATGACTTGAAATTGAGGAGAGAAAGGGTGAATTTGTTCTCAGGTGCTTGGAAACTCCTTTTCCTTGCTGGTTTATCCCAAGAAGCCTTCCCATGGCTGACAAGCCTCCTCCATTCTGCAGCCATCTGGCCTAACAGGAGAGGAAGAAAGCAAGCACAGAAGCACTGAAATCAACAGATGTGAGCTCGGAGTGAAACATCACTCATTTATTTCTGCTGATCACTTGGGAATTTTGCTCAGCTTTGCTCCTCCACAGCCCACACCCCTTTTTCAACGCCTGACTTCCACGGCCTTCCCTAATCCAGGATAATTAGAAGAAGGTTTTGGGAGAAAGGAGTTCAGGCTTTGAAAATCTGCAAGACCATCCTAGCACACTTTTATCCAGATTCTTCAAAACACTCAAAGGCTTGATTTTAGGATAGCTGGCACATCTGTTTTCTTTCCGGTGTAGAGTTTTGCTGCACACGTTCTAAAAATATCTGAAGATCCACATAATTTTTCTGTACCTGTTCTAGAAACTCCAGAGGTGTTTGTGTTGTTGATCTTCTCCAGAGTAGGTGATTCTATTTTGGGGTGCAAAGGCTTTGATTAGAGGGTATCAACAGTTTTAACTGTGCGAGCAAAGTATGTTCTTGCAGAGCAGAGAGCACGGAAAGGACTTTGAGGAATGGAAATGAGGAGGAGCTCATTAGTGAGTTGGAGGAACAGAATGTGAGGATTATTTAATTGAGGGCGGGAGGAGACACTGCGGGGTGTTTTCCTCTGTGAGGGATGAGCAGAATTCCTTCACTTTACAGGGTCTGGAGCTCTGGTACTGCCTGTGTCTACCTGTCCTTGTGCTTGATTTCTTACCTGTGTAGTTTCTCAGCTAAATGAAGTAGTAGAATAATGAAATCTTTTGTAAGGTGCTCATTTAATTCTGAGGTGGCTGCACATTAGTGGATAGGAGAGTTTACAGTGTGAGTAGGAGGAATTTGCAGTGTGAGTAGGAGTGCCTCATCATGGATATTAATAACAAAACCTTGAGTTTTCCTTAAAGGAAGGAAATAATTTTAAGGAAACTGTAATTTTTATTATGAGGAAGGAAAAACTCCTTGGTTTTCATTTTGGACATTATTCCTGGAACGCTCCTGGCCGGAGCCTGGTTTCTGCTGGGGCCTGAATGTGGCAGTGCTTGGCTCTGGCACTGAAGAATCCTGTCTAATTTATGGGAAAAACTGGCCCCAGCAGCTATCCGAGGGTCTGTTGGCCCCTTAGGACGCCTGAATTTGGGTATTTCGTATTTCTATTCCTCTGGTGCCTCATGGGGAATGAAGAAGGCCCAGGGAAGGTGCCCTGGACTGGCTGTGTCCAGGCAGGAAGGGAAGCTCTTCCCTGCTGGTGTCCTGAGGTATTTTCTTCTAAAGACCAAGAAGAATGGGTTAGGTTTGCTTGAAGATGGGTTAGATATGGCCAGAGATAGGGCAGATACAGTTGTGGGTGGTTAGATCCAGTGACAGCAGACCAAAGATAGACCCTCACAGAACACCTGGTCTGTGGGGAGGAGAAGCAGCTTGGGCTTCTTCCCATCTCTTTTGGGGCTTTTGGAGAGACCTGGTCAGTTCAGTCCCATCTTCTGCATGTATGCAGTCCTGATCCAGAATTCCTGGAGCTGTCATGTGTAAATCCAACTCCATCCCGCTGCTGGTACTGCCCAAACTTACAGGGGTCCAGAGGAGCCCTGAGGCCACAAATAGTCACTGCAGTGGCATCCCCCAGAGGCCTTTTGGTGTTCTCCAAGTGCTCTCCTAGTTTATTGTGGCTTCCAAAGCATCCTCCGGGTGGATGCTACCAGAAACCATCCATGATCACGGAGCTGGAATCACTTCCAATCAATTCCAATACGGCTTCAGAGCATGGCTGGGAAAGAGGTGGATCAGTCCTCTGTGGGGCCACTTGTGTCTCCTCACTGCTCAGGAGGCACAACAAATGATCTCTTTCTTCCCATCTCTGCCATTGTTTCCATAACAGGAAACTCACTCAACTTCGACTCAGGGCAGAGTAGTATGTGAAAAATAGCTGGTGATCCTTCCTGGTGAGGAATGTCCTGTTTATCTGGTGACATGATCTGCAATAACAGCAGCATGGGCATGCCTGCAGGGTGCCTTGCCTTGCCTGTGGCCTCTTTCCATATTTTCAGGGGGGAAATAGGGTGGTTCTGTTGAATATTTAGTGTTGAAGCAAATCTGTGCAGTCAGTGTGGGATGCTGAAGGTCTGTTGTTCGTGCAGGTGAGCTCGTGGTTCCTCAGGGAAGCTGCTGTCACTCCTGGGCAGTGGTCTTTTAAATGCCCAACACTAAACAACCCTCCTTGTTGTGGATTTTTTCGTTGTTTTAAATAACCATTTAATTATTTCATAAACCTTTCTATTTCATCTGGGATCAGCAGCAATTAAAGAGAAATGCTGATTCCATGATCACGGAGTCCCAGAATCATGGAATGGTTTGGGTTGGAAAGGACCTTAAAAGACCATTTTAGTCCATCCCTTGGCATGGGCAGGGACACCTTCCACTATTCTAGGCTGCTTCTGCCTAGCCTTGGACACTTCCAGGGATCCAGGGGCAGCCACAGCTTCTCTGGGCACCTGTGCCAGGGCCTGCCCACCCTCACAGGGAAGGATTCCTTCCCAATATCTGAAATAAAGCCCCTCCCTTTCAGTTTAAATCCATTCTCCTTGTCCTTTCACCCCGTGTGAGTGATGTCTTTATAAGACAGGGGTCTCTTGACTGCTGGCTGCCCTCCCTGCTCCTGACCTGGTTCCTGTGTGTCCCCATCAGGTTGACAGTGACACCATTTGGAACGAGGTGCACTCGTCTGGCGCTGCTCGCCTGGCCGTGGGCTGTGTCATCGAGCTGGTGTTCAAAGTGGCCACAGGAGAACTGAAGGTATGAAAACAACCCCCAGCTGTGCTCTGTACAGGGTTCTGCCCGGGGCTCTGCCATGCAGCAGCCCCAGGAACCATTCTTCCCCCACTCCACAATGAGGGAAAGCATCATCCACTGCTATAACCTTGTGAGGAAGCCATCAAGAGCAACTCCAGAGTTGCCAAGTAGGATTAAGGCTTCTGGCTGCAACCCCTGTGTCCATCCTTGTCCCTCTGACCTTGTCCTTTCCTTGTTTTTTGTGTGCAGAATGGATTTGCTGTTGTCCGGCCCCCGGGCCACCACGCGGAGGAGAGCACACCCATGTGAGTATGGCATTCACTGACTTCATCCAGGGCTCCTTTGATGGGGGATCCGCAGCTGGGAATTCCAAAGGAATTCTGTTAGGTTATCACTATGGAATTGCTGTTCATTGCTAGATCAGATGTGTGCCATTCAAAGCTCCCAACATTCTCTGGAATGGGGGAAGATCCTGCTCAGTGCTTTCAGGGGGATGTTTCCTAGCAAGGATCAGCAGTGGGTTTGGGCAAGTGTGGGACATTCCCTGTGTCCCTAGAGCCTGCTGCTGGAATTCAGCACTTCCAGTGGGAAATGGATCTAGTGGAAGGTGTCCCTACCCACGGAACAGAGATGAGCTTCAAGGTCCCTTCCAACATGAGCCATTCCATGTTTCCAGAGAGGAAAGAAGAGTGAGAGCAGAAGGAACTCCTCCCTCCTGTGTTCCATCTTATGATGGATGCACTGGCACCACGGGAAGCTGTAATTAACACCTCTCTTTTCCTCTTGTCTCCCCTCTCCAGGGGTTTCTGCTATTTTAACTCTGTGGCAATTGCAGCCAAGCTGCTCCAGCAAAGGCTCAATGTGAGCAAAATCCTCATCGTGGACTGGGTGAGTAAATGTCCTTTCTGTCCCTATGGGAGGGCAGGTGGAAATTATTCTGGGAGGGTTTCTTCTTGCAACTGTACGTTGCAAATTGTAAGTTTCTTCTTTAACTGTCAGTCAGTGAAAAACTTCTTGCCTGTTGTCTGCAAACCAAAACTGAATAAAAGTGTTCTAATTAGAAAAGACATTCTTAAAGAGACCACAGTTTTCAAATAAAAGGAAAGGGCTTCTTTGGGATTTTGCTGTGGCAATGTATAGATTTTTATTTTGTAATAGATTTTATGTGGCTGGGAAGGCATTGGAGTGACTGGGTGACTATCAGCCAAAGTGACTTTAAGAAGTGATTTTATCAGCCAAAAGCTTTGGTTCTGTTTTAGAACCAATCACCCATGGGCTAAACCCACAAGTTATATTGCATTTATTTGTCTTTAGGACCTACTGGGTGGATGGTTTTTTTCCTCATGTCCCACCTGCTTTTCATGTCAGGGAGGGGCATTTTGAATACCTGTCTTCTCACAGGCTGTGTCTGCACCACACAGCTCAGTAGGGGAGCTCTCTTGGATTGTGTTGTTTATCCTGGATCCAGCAGAGCTTTATTTGTATCAGTGCTCACCCCACAGATTGACTAAAGATGCAGATGTGGGGCAGCAAATATCCCAGTGTCTCCACCACCCAGGATTGGTGTGAATCCAGTTCTTCCATCCAGGTAAATGGGTCCTCAGCTGGATAGACATTGGGATTGTGTTTATCCCCTGTGTTAAACAAGGAGTGTAATCTCAAACTAGGTGTGCAGAACAGGTTATTCCCATTCCCCATGAACTGCTTCTGCCAGGTTGGAGAAAACAATGCTCAACAGCAAGGAAAACCCCTTCAAATCCTGAACTGATGCCTTTAATCCATGTTTTTAGTGAAGGACTAACCTCCCTCCTGTGATCCCTGCAGGATGTCCACCATGGGAATGGTACTCAGCAGGCCTTCTACAACGATCCCAACGTCCTTTATATCTCACTACACCGCTATGATGATGGCAACTTCTTCCCAGGCAGCGGTGCTCCAGATGAGGTGAGCACATGGATCCCAAAATCCTGGCACTCAGAGGAGCTCCTGCCATCTTGCCAGAGATCCTCTGGGTTTTGTGCTCCCATCCAAGGGCACGCCAGGTCCGTGTGGTCCAACAGCCACGGGCACCGTGTCCTGGCCGGAGCTGGCGGGATGGCAGCAAATGAATCACTGCAATTAAGCTCTCCAGCCCTTGTGGGACAACCTGTTCCAGAGGAGCCCTCTGCCAGCTGTCCCAGCACTCCTTGTCCCATTCAGGATTTCCCCTTCCTCGGCAGAAGCTGTTTCTTAGATGGAGAAGGAACAGATTGTCCACGGCTGCACCACCCACGCTCGGTTTTCATGGCACAGCCATGGAGCCTGTCCGCCTCCCCTTCTCCACCTCCCCTTCTCCTCCTGTTCCCCTGGCCCTTCCCCACCTCCCCTTCTTTCTCCTGCCTTACCCAGGCATTGCTCACCAGCACCAAGGCTGCACCTCCACCCCAAATTTGTGGGATTTGAGGGCCAATCATGGATACTGCTGGAGCAAGTCCCCCTTTCCTGGTGCTGTCCTCGGAGGCTGCAGCAGGAGGGCTGAGCTGGAGCTGGGAGCTGAGGTCTGCATGGATACAGCCTTCCTTTCCCTCTGGGCTGCCAGGAAATATGGTCCTTCAGAGCAATTTAGCAAAGGGAAATTTTATGGAATAGAGTGCTCTGAGACTCTCCAAGTGACATCTGAAAACTTCTTCCCCTGTCAATTTTACATTTTCTGCTTGAGAAAACATCAGTGTTTCCATTTCAACCTCTAAAGAAACCGAAATGTGACATGATTTTGCTCCTTCGCCCTGTTGTAGTGAATGAACAGCAGCCCTTTGTATCAGGCTTAATTCCTGCTTTTTAGCAATCTGGTTTACAAAAAGATTTTTAGATTTTCATTTTTAGATGTGTCATTTTAGACCAAATAAAAGAAAGGATAGAAAACAGGTTTGATTTAAGCCAGCGATGGAAAAATAACTCACCGTGGGTAGGTGAACACCCACCCCTGTGTTTTTCTAGCACCAGTACGAGGAATAATGTGCAATAAAAGCCATGCAGTTTTATCCAGCTGTGCAACACATTAATTTTCACTTTTTAATTATTTTCTTCTTTTCATATGTAAAGATCTTCTTGGCACAAAAAAAAAAATAATAAAAAAAAGCAAGCTGAGTTAGAGTTAGGTTTATAAATATCTAATATAACATATTATATACAAATAAATATATGAATTTATAAATAACTGATTTATTTTTCCCGCAGGTCCTTGCAGGCAGGGCAGATGGGGACATTTGCAGTACAAGCGAAGAGAGGGATGTATTTACATCTCCCGCCCATGTGTTCCTCAAACAGCCAAAATCCCTTCTCTGTGACTCTTATTTTCCTCCAGCAGAGGGGGAGCTCACTCTGATTAAAATACACTTTTTCCTCCAGTTGCAGCTGTTGTGAAATATAAAATATGCTCATGAATCAAGCTGAAAATGAATTATGGAAAGGTATTACATGCAGCATACTCCTCTACAAAAAAAAAAAATCAAGAGGGTGCAGTTGATGATAGGGTGGTTTTTTGGGTGAGCAGCAGTCAAACACCACTGGTCCTCAGCTCCTATAAAGATCTGAGGATATTTATTTTCCTGTGGAGGAGGAAAATAAAAAAATTCCTGGAAGGAAGAAAAAAAAGTGGAGGAGCTTTATTTTTCATCTTGTTTCAGAGACCAGGGACCAGTCAACCTCACTACTGAATCCAAATTCAGCTGGGAGAACATGAAAACAGCAAAGATGTGTTGCCAGAATCTGCTAATTAAGAGTCCCGTTTCCCTTTTCCAGGTTGGCACAGGAGCAGGAGTCGGTTTCAATGTTAACATGGCATTTACTGGTGGCCTGGATCCGCCCATGGGAGACACGGAATATTTAACTGCCTTCAGGTACTACTGGATTTTCCTTCTCACAAATGTATTTTTCACCTCTGCTGGGTTTCTTTTTCCTCCTCCTTAATTTTGCCTTTGATAAGTTTTAAAATTTTAATATTATTCATCCAAGAGAGGCCCTTGCACAGGGTGCCCAGAGCAGCTGGGGCTGCCCCTGGATCCCTGGAAGTGTCCAAGGCCAGGTTGGATGAGGTTTGGAACTGCCTGGGACAGTGGAAGATGTCCCTGCCCATGGCAGAGGGTGGGACTGGATGAACTTTAAGTCTCCTTCCCACCTGAAGCAGTCCATGATTTTCCTTAGACACTGTCCTGTCCCACCCCCTGGCTCCCCTGTGCCATGGGTCAGCCTGGTCTCTCCTTTAACAATTTCAAGTGGGTTCCTGTCCTCACACCGGGTTCAGTGCACCTCTGGTGGCCTCAGCTTGGGCAGACCTAGACTTGCCAGAATACAGAGTGTGAATTTCTGGAATATCACCCCTGTGGGATGGCATGAAATCTGGGAGTGTTGTTTTCTGCTCTTCCCTGTTATATCCTGTTATCCTCTTCATTCTGCCATCAACAAGCCCTCAGAGAACACACATGGTTTGAAATGACACCACATCACTGTTATTGGTGTCACTCCTGGCACTTTGCTCCAGAGTGGAAGCCTGGCTATCCCAGCAGTCCCCAGGATGGATCTCTGTGTTAGCCAGAGTACCTGGGGCTCGGGACATGGGGACAATTAAATATTAATTGAGTTTCCAGGCTCCTGGAAAAGGCTCAGGGCTGCACAGTGAGGCCTTTACCAGCCATTCCTGGGTTCTGCTTGCCTGGACACTGCAGGTGTTTAGGAACAGCCTCTGGAGCTGGTCTCAGCCCTTATTTTTGGGAGTTTTGGGGGAGCTGAGGGATGTTCCTCCCGGAGCCTGCACACCTTCAGTTTAACCCTAAGTTAAATGAGAAGCTTTCTTTTTTAAATTCTACGCCAAGTTTGGCCATGATAATACATTATCAAGTGACCTTTTTAGATCTTAACCAGCTCCTTTGAAAAACATTTCCACCCCCACCCCCCAAATCTTTCTGTTGATTTTAATGTAAAATAACGCTTTGAAGTTCACAATTTATAGTCCCCCGAGAGTTAGAAAGTGAAGGGAATGGGTCATATATCCTATTTTTTCCCCTTCTTTTCTTGCTTTAGCCCCTTGAGACAATACATGCCTTCAAGGCAGCACCTTGTTATTCCACCCCGTCGAATGCCACGTTGCATTTGCTGGGGATCAAACCGAAGATGAAGAAAAGATAAGAAAATTGGCCATAATGAACTCCAGAAGCAGGAGGCATTTTCACCATGAACTTGGAAACTCGCAGTGGAGAACTGAGCTTTAATTCAAACCAGTCCGAATGCCAAACTGTGAGGCTTTGAAGTCTGGAGAGGAATCAGTGGAAATCCTTTGAGCTAGGCAAAGATACTGATAGACTTTTTCTTTCTTTTTTTTTCTATTTTTTTTTAAGACTTAACTCTTCACATGCCTGCCTGTTTTTGGGGAAAAAAAAGTTCTTTTTCTGTGTAAAAGGAGCAGATACTTAAGTAAGCAACGTGCTCCTCGTTTTTTGTTGTTGTATTTCAGGAAGAGCCAGTGTGTGGGTTTGAGAAAGGAAAATAACTGAGATAATTGTCCTTCTATATGAGAGAAATGAGGGAATAAATAAATCCCAGGGAAACCACTCATCCTCACGCTGAAAACCTGTTTCAGTGTGGTTTTGCTCCATCCAAAAAAGAGATGGGAACTCACATCACTGATTTTCATCCTGTCTCCAAATATCTCCCCAGTCTTGGGGTGCCCAGGCTCTCCTGACCTCTGGATGATCCTTAATGCCACCGAGACATATCAGAAATGAAGAGTTAAAAACGTGCTTTTCCCTGCACTTTGTCACTTGTTACCTTCCTAACCTGGGGCTGAAATCACTGCCTGCCCCTGCTCCAGGTTGGGGTGCCCTGTTCCTCTGGCAGGGAGGGGGTGATCAGGAGGGATTTGGAGATTTTTCTGGGAGCCTGGAGCTCCTGCACTCCGTGCTAGCAGCGGAGTCAGCTCCACATCCCGTGCCTGAACTCACCCCCCAAGCTTGTGGGCAATCCCAGATTTCACAGATCAGGCAGAAATGGGGTCAGTTTGATGGGAAAAATGCAGGGCACGTTGTTCCCAAAGCCCTGAACACCTCAGAACGTTCCCAGTGTCTCTGCTGTTGCTCTGTAGCTACAGAAACAAACAATTGTAAAATTCAGGGGCATTTTTTGGACCAGGATTTGTTGTTCCCTAACATTTTACATGAGCAGAAATCCTGTTTGCCTCTCAGTCCTCCTGATCCAGCTACAAACCCGGCTAAGGAACCTGCAGGAGAAATGGGAAGGCTCTGTCTGGTTCCTTATTACATGGGAACAGCAATTAGTGAAATTAAAAATGTTTTATCCACAGGAGTTTCCCTCTGAATTTGCTGCAAGGAAATTTTCATGATGATTCCAGAAGTTGTGTTGTATCTGAGAATTTTTTCCCCTTATCCCAAGGTCTCCTCCACAGCCATAATTCTACGTACAGCTCGATTCCACGTTTGTTTTTATTTAAAACACCTCAATCAGAAGGAAAAAGCCAGGACTGTGCTTCCCCCTCCTCCTGCTGCTTTCAAAAAGCATTAAACAAGTTCAGGAACCAATTTTGGGGGGATTTGGGTTTTTCCTTCCATCCATAAACCATTTCAGGAGTGAGGAAGAGGAGGAGGGGGAAGAGATGATGATGTTTTGCCTGGAATGGTTGTTGCTGTATTTTCAATTTCATGCTCTCCCCAAGCCGATTTCATCCCCAAATTCCTAATCCCTTTTGACACAGTAAATGACCATGGAGAAGCAAAGATCAGAATTCTTGGGAAGCTGTTTAGCCTGTGGATAACATTTTTAGTTTATATATATAAAATATATAATGTGTATAAAATCATATATGCATAACATATATAGAAATTGCACAAGATACATAGAAAAATATATATCCATAGATGCATATATTTATATGCATAATATAAATATAGACACTTAACATATATAAATTTATACATGGCACATATTAAAATACATATAAAACATGGATGTGGCCGAGAGTGCGAAAAAGTCTCTAAAAAAGTGTTCAGCCTTCTAAGTTTCACCAATTTACTCACTGCAATTGAACATCTAAAGCCCAAAATAACCCTCTGTAAGATTGTTTCATCTGCCTGTTGTTTATTAGGCATTTAATTGGGGAATTGGCTAATGCCAGGCTAAAAATGGTTCATTCAGCCTTCTGGAAAATAGATCTAAAATTGCATTTATCTGTTTTTTTCCTCTCTCCCAAGTGATTGTAGAACACAATGGGGAGGTTTTGCTGGTTGCAGCCTTCAGTTTGCTCTTGTGTAGAGCCGTTCAGCTCAGCTGTAACCAGGCAAATAAAAGGATTTCATTTATTTTAAGCAAGCACAACAAGCTTCCGAAATTTGGGAAATTTCAGTTTCCCTGTTTTTAAAAAAATTCTACATGGATTGAATGAATATTCAGCATTAGGAATATTCATTCCTCAGTGAATAACTTTACAGCTACTTCAGCCATTCTTTCAAAGGCACAATTCCAGGCAGAACTGCTTATCTCCTGGGTAATAATTTGAATTTCTGGCGCTTTTTTATAGCCTCATCATCAGGGCAAAGCCACAGGGCTGCTCGCAGTTTAATCCCTGTTTCCTCTGGGGGGTTTGGTTTTACTGGAGTGGATCTGAGCGAAGGGGCTGGTTTTATCTGTGGACAAGGGAAAATGAAAAGCACAAAGCTGGATGACTTGTGTCCAAAATGTTGTCCACAGATGGAGCCTCGGAAACACACCGGACTTTTTGTCTTTTTTTCTTAAATTAGAAAGGCAAAGTGAGGGAGTGCTGGCTTTGGCCCTCCTGGTTTTACATCCGTGGAGAGCAGCAAAGCTGGGGCTGTGGCTCTGGGGCGCTGGTGTCACACTGGAATTAGGAGAAGGGTTTTTTCTCTCCTAGAACTGCCCCTGGCAGGGTTCAGGGTTAGCCCTGGGGGCTGTGTGGCTGTGCTGGAGGGGTCCCTCTGTCACTGTCACCAGCAGCCACCTCCAGCCCAGGGTCACCAGCCACCCCATTCCTCAGGAGCCCGGCAGGATTGGACACCCGTGCCAGGGGATGGAATGAGATGGTTTTTAAGGTCCTTCTCAGCTGTTCCCTGCTCCATGAACTGTGCCATGCCTGAGAATCCCCATGGATCCGGGATCCCACGGGTTGCTCAGTGCTGATGCACCATCCCCACACCTTTGGGCTGGCTCTGGTGATCCCACACTTCCACTGAGATCCTTGCAGCTCCCATGGCGTCGGAACTCAGGGAGGGGGGGAAATAAATCCGATGATTTGAGCGGTTTTCCCTGGGTTAGGCATGAAAGAGCTCAGCAGCACTTCAAAGCTCAGGGAAAACAAACCCTCAGCCGCTGCACTTGCTCTGGAATTGCTGCTTCAGACCTCGATGAGGGAGGGGATTTCTCCTAAGAATTTCCACCAAACTGTACTCTCGTCTTCCTCACAGAATCATCCCCCAGGGACAAAATGGAGAGAGGCAGTCACATCACTGAAGGAGAAAATTCAAGTTCCTTGTTGGGATTTTGTGCGGATTAAGGGAAACTGCATCCCTTTTTTCTCGCAGAGGTCTCTGTGTCTGCGCGCAGGGATCAGCAGCGATGGCAGGAGGCTCTGGGGGTTGCTGTGGCAAATAGCTGGGGAAAAAACCCTAAAAAACCCTAAAACCAAAGCTGGGAGGCGTGGGGGGTGTCTTTTGGTTTTTTTGGTGCCTGTCCCTGCTCTGTGGTGGCAGTGGAGACTTGTGGATGGGTTTGCTCAGTGCCTGGTAGAGGTTGATGCCCCCTTAAAAATAAATTCTGCACAGGGGCACGAGCTCAGCTGGATGTCACAGGCTGCTGACTCTGGCAGATGTTTAATATCCTCGTGGCAAAAACTGGGAGCTTTTATGATTGTCCTGATAGCACTTGAGCCATCTCAGCACAGAACAGGCCCCCCATGGCTCTGTTTTTAGGGCATCACACAAAGACTCGACTCAATGAAGTGTGAGGTTCTCGTGTGTGCAAAGATTTACAGGTCCGTGCTTTGGGATGTGGGTAAAATAACTTCAGTTCTTGCTGTAGAATGTTATCCTGGCTGGTGGCTGTTCCTAGGATGGGGAAATGAAAAAATTACAGGTCAGGTTGCTCTAGGGATACATACAGAATTCAGGAGGTGCAGTTACAATGGGTAAAACATAATTTGGGAAATGTGTCTTGATGTGGGGAATGGGATGTTTGCAACCTCATGTAGGTTTTGGGGAGAAATTCTGGAGTTTGGAGAGAGAGAAACCAGAGGGGGAAAAAAGGTCTTTTGGTGAGAAACCACAGGAACGGAGCCCTTGTTTCATTTAAATACAACTTTAATACTCAATAGGATGGGGATGCTGAGCATTTCCATCATGGGGAGCTGGCACTGGGAGAGGTGGATTTGGGTGGGATATTTGCATTCAAAAGTTGTTCTGTCCCCGTGGGACACTCACAGCCTTTTGTTGTGGGGAGTGGGGACTGCAGCAAGGGGGGAAGGAATCACTTTGCAAAGCCTGGAGGAGATGTTCTGAGGGAGGACTTGGAGATAATGCCTTGGGGGTGAGGATTCCTAGGTTGTTTTGCAGCCTGTGCCAGATGCCCTCTTCTTTTACCCTTATCCCATGTATGCAAATCAGGATATGATCCCAAATGGGAAACACAAGGGGTGACAACTCATTTCCCTTGCTCAAAACATGAGGCAGAGGAAATCCCAGAGAGTGCAAGGAGTTCTTCCAGCCAGACTCTCACTTTGCAGGGAAATAAATGGGCTTTGCTGCCGTGGAATGAGGGTTTAAACACCCCTGCCTTTGCTCAGGAGCCACCCTGACGTGTGTGCCACGGATATTTTGTGTTGCAGGACAGTAGTGATGCCCATTGCCAATGAGTTTGCCCCAGACGTTGTGCTGGTGTCATCTGGTTTCGATGCTGTGGAAGGGCACCCCACACCCCTCGGAGGATACAATCTGTCAGCAAAATGTAAGTGGGGGTTTTCCTTTTGCTGCTGTCCTAGGGATTAAAGAGCAGTGTTCCCAGATTTTACTTTGTGGGATCTACTTCAGATCTTTCCTTTCAATGGCAAAACTTCCGTCCCTTTTCTTTCCATTTTCATGGCATTTATCTTTTTATAATGCATATTTTGGCCTGGCTGAAGCCTTAATTTATTTCTTTTTCTGACACATTGCATATTTCAACTTTGAAATATTCAATATGTAATATTGTGTAATTTATTTGTAGTCACATCTCTGCTGAATTAGAGAGTTATGCTGGCATTAATATAAAATGGCAGAAAAAGGCCATACCAGCTGTAAACAGTCTCATTGCTACAAATTCATTTCTTCCTCCAGGACACCTTATTAAAATTTTGAGCTGAGTATTTCTGCTCTCCACCTTTGAATTAATTACAAAGACCCACAAACCTTCCTTTTTTCTTTGGGTCCGAGATGTTTTTGGGAGATGCACTGAAATCCATTCCCCAGGTTATGTGGAGTTTACCTGGCACTGTTTCATTTCAATTAATCCAGAGGACAGTTTTTCTTGCAAAAAGAGTTTTATTATTATTTTTTAAGAGTTTGTTCCAGCCAGGAAAGTTATTCTCTACAGTGAACTTTAATACCTCGTAAAGGGGCTGAACCTATAAACTTTATATATAAAGAATAAAGTGAAATAGGTTTACAAGAGACAAGCTCCTTGAGATATCCAGAACTACTTGGGAAAAGGAAGGTCTTGTTTACCTGCTGGTTGAATTTGCCATGCTCTGCTCCTCTCACAAAACCAGTTATGGGCTGGGCAGTGGATGTTTTCCTCTGCCTGTTAATTTGTTAATTTGCTGACTCCCAAAGGGGTTTGCTCCAACGCAGAGAGTGGGGAGGGAGGGTAGAAATTCCCTGGCTTTTCCTTTGTTTCACTTTTTGATATTTTTTTAATTCTTTTTGCTGGAGGGGGAAGGTTGCTTCGAGGACACGTTTTTTAAATCCTCACTGCTTGGTTCTGTTTTGTTTAAAGGGGGCAGAAATGTATTGTGTGTCATCTGATCAAAGTGCCGGGTGCCCCTGGAATTTTTATAGCATATTATGGACGGGAAGAGCCGTCTGCTGAGAAGGAGATGTCAAACCTAAATCTCTCCGGGCACTGCGCTGCTGCTATCCCGACCCAAACTGGGCCGGTTCCCCTTCCTCCTCCCTCCCCCAAAGCAACATCCAGCAGAAATCCTCCCCTTTCCCTGCTTCCAAAGGGAATGCTGGTTGCTGGTGTAATTTGGGGCGCTGAGGGGTGGCAGGGGGAGGATGGTGATGCTCTCGGCTGGGCTGCTGCTGGTGGGGGACGGCCGGATCCATCGCAGGGAAGCCACGGCTGGAACGGCGCGGCGAGCGCGCTAAAGCCCAACCTGGCTCGTGTTACGCGCCGAGCCCTTTCAAATCCCCGCTGCGTTTTTAATATGATGTAATTCCTCTCCCTGACTCTTTGATCCTCTGCCAGGAGCCCGATCCCAGCCGCCACCTTTGCCCTTCTCCTGCATTTCCTCTGTTCCCTCCTTGCAGGCTTCGGGTACCTGACGAAGCAGCTGATGGGCCTGGCCGGGGGCCGCGTCGTGCTGGCCCTGGAGGGTGGCCACGACCTCACGGCCATCTGTGATGCCTCGGAGGCTTGTGTGTCAGCCCTGCTGGGAAACGAGGTACAGGCACCCCCAAAACCTCCTCCCCCCTGGGGTTTGGGCGTCTCATCCTCCCATCTGCCAAGTTTCTGTCATGGTTTTGTGTCCTTGTGACACTTGGTGCTTTAAAGAGTGTTTGTTTTATGCTCAAAAACCACCTGTGCTTTGCAGTCCATGAGATGAGGGAAACAGCTAAGAATGATTTTTTTGGGTTTGTTCTTTCTCCAAATAATTTGCTTTGTGCTCTTTGAAAAAAAAAAAAGCTCCTTTAATTAATTTCTGAATTTGTTGTGCAAGCCTTCCCTTCTCTTTGCTCCCCTCTCTAGTCCTACAGCCTGTGCCTGCTGCATGGGGCAGCTGGCTTGACATGATTTGCAGCTGGATTTTTTTCCTTGGAGTTATATTTTCAATTTTCTGCATGTTTCTGTGTAGGAAAAGCCTCGGTTGTGTCGGAGAAATAGGCCAGAAAGATCAGGGGGGGTGATTGCAAGACAAGAGCCAGACAGAGAAGTACACCAAGGTGTTGGGTTCTGGAGAGGTCAGGGTATTTTCCTACAGAGAAAACAGTAGATACTCCATCTTCTCTGCCTTTTTCCCCTCAACTTCTAGTGTCAGTGGGATTAATGAAAAAATGCTACATCTACACATCTTTGAAATCCCTGCAGGGATGGTGACTCCACCGCTGCCCTAGGCAGCCTGACTCAGTGCCTGAGCATGCTTCCAGTGAAGGAATTTTCCCTAATATCCAACCTAAACCTCCTCTGGTGCAACCTGAAACCATGTTTGAGGGCTTTTGGGTACGGTTAGTTTGGGCCAAGGTGCAGCACCAGAGGAGCTGAGCAGTGGGTCTGTCTCCAGTGGAAGCTGATTTCTGGGGAGGGTTGTAGTTCAGTGACCATCAGGTGTCTGGGGAGTTGGAGCTTGGATCTGCATGGAGGTGTGGAGCAGTTTGACTTCCAGCCTGTTGGAGAAGTGCTCTGTCTTGGAGCATCCACACTCAGCGTTAAGGGGGAGGCTGGAGTAGCCAGGCCAGGAGAGAAACCAGCTGGGATTCGTCAGAAGCACCTGCTTCCAGCATCCCAGCTCCCTGTGTCCAGGGAGCATCCTGCTCCTTGTGCTTGGCCAGGCAGTTCTCCAGGGCTCTGGGCACGGGGAATGGCTCCAGCCTTCACTCAGCCCTCGGGACAGCCGAAAACTCAGGAGGCAGCTGCCACACCAGCGTGGAAATGAGGGTTCCAGTGGTAGGGCACTGGCACAAGTTTCATAGAGAAGCTGTAGCTGCCCCTGGATCCCCAGAAGTTTCCAAGGCCAGGTTTGGAGCAATGTGGGATATTGGAAGGTGTCCCTGTCCCTGGCAGGGGGTGGGACTGGCAGAGCTCTAAGGTCCCCTGTAAGACAGACCATTCTGGATTCTGTCAGGTGTTTATTGTAGCACCCATCTGTTTTAAGTGGTTTCCATATGCAATTCCTCTGGCTTCATCTGCCTTGGGGTGCAGGATGCACTTGGAAAGGGAAGCAGTGGGAATAGCCTGGAGGATGTCGTTCCTCCTGCTCAGTGTGCTCCTGGGATCACAGGAGGCTGACTGCAACCACATGCAGTAAATAAGAGCTTGATCCAAGCCATGGATGTGTTAGGGAGTGTGAGGCTGTGGGGAGAGCTCAGCACTCAGGATACCTTGGATGTTGTGAGCTGCCTGGGTGGTTTCATTGAGCAGAGGGAATATTGATCTTTAAAGGTAAAAAACATTGATTATTTTAATCACGGCTACAAGGACACTTTAACACAGACCTGCTCTCACATGTACTAGGTGGGCTGTGCAGCTAGGGTAATATTCCCTGACTTACCACACATCAGAAAGCAGGAAACACTCATTTTATCCAGGTCTTTCCTTGAACCTTTTGAAGGCAAGAGAGTCGAGGAGGGGGGGGAATGGCTGCAGCTCTGTGCCGCAGCCCTTTGATGCAGTTTGATCTACAGTGTGTTGGAGGATCCTGCCTGCACACACGTGGACAGGCAGCTGTGGCCAGGGCAGGCTGCAGGGAGCTGGGCTGGCTCAGGAGCCATCCTGGAGCTCCACTGGGGCTGGTAGGAAATGAGGGGAGCAGTGCCAGTCCTCCCAGTCGGCGTCCACCGGCCAAGATCAAAACTCCCGCGTTGGGAGAAGCACGGGGCCAGCTCCTTTCCAACTGGCCAGGAAATTAAACCAGAGCTGGGGCTGTGCAGCTGATTACTGCACTGGGGAGGGGGTCAGGGCTGGGGAATGGACCTGCTGTGGTGGCAGAACTGTGCAAAGCTCACAGGGATTCAGTGGAAATCAGAGGTGAGTTTGGTGCAGAGAGAGGCTTGGACACAGTCTGAGAGAGTTTGGGTTGTTCAGCCTGGAGAAGGCTCCAGGGAGAACTCCTCCAGTGCCTAAAGTGGCTCCAAGAGAGCTGGATAGGAACTTTGGACAAAGTCCTGATGGGACAGGAAAAGAGGGAATGGTTTTAATCCATTTTAACCACAGAGACAGGGTTAGATGGGATGTTGGGAAGGAATCCTTCCCTGTGAGGGTGGGCAGGCCCTGGCACAGGGTGAGCAGGGAAGCTGTGGCTGCCCCTGGATCCCTGGAAGTGTCCAAGGCCAGGTTGGACATTGGGGTTTGGAGTAGCCTGGGATAGTGGAAGGTGTCCCTGCCTGTGGCAGGGAGTGGGAATGACATGAGTTTTAAGATCCCTCCACCCCCCAGCATTCCATGATTCCGAGGTCTGCTGATGGCAGTCCACACCTGTCAGGCACTGTTCCTCTCCCATTACCCTGCAGAGCTGCTCAGTCCATGGTGGGCATCACCAGCCTCTGCCCTTCAAACAAGGAGGTGATGACAACCAGGTGCCTCATGCCCCGAGGTTTTTTGCTCCCTTTGGCACAGGCTGAGGCTGTTTGTGATTGTTATTTCAGGAGGAGGAGTGTGCTCTGGAATCAAGAATGCTTTGTCTCAGTGTCAACCAAGGGGCCTTGGAAAGCTCTTGTGCAGAGACTTATCCAGGAATTGCTTTTGCCTTCACTTAATGTCATACAGAAACCAGTTTGGAGCAGAACTATTTTTAGAGTGGAGAATTAATAAAAAGTGCAGTCCATAATTACTGAATCTGGAATGCAGCCTCCCGTGAAGTACCTATGGAATGGCTACCATGTGCTTATAAGAGCAGTCTTGGCTGCAGCTTCCCTTGACTTTGAGCAGAAGTTAAACTTTGCCATAGGTACTTTAAACTATTAAACTCTAACTGCTCCTTGCTGGGGAACATCCCTGGTTGGGCTTTGAGTGATGTTTTCAGCACAGTTAACAGCAGTGGACATCTCTTGTTTTGGGCAGCCCCACCTTGGAGATTTGGGACGGATTCATTCATTAGTGGAGAACCTGGAAGGGCAGAGGTGTCTCCTCTTCTTGGGTTTTTCTAAAGGAAACAGGACAAATCCTAAAACATTCCTCCAGCAGTGCTGTCAGGCCTTTCCCTGGGATGGCACAGACACGTTCCCACTGCAGAGCTGACTAATGGGAGGTATCCCTGCCAATGGCAAGGGAAGGAATGGGAGGAGTTGTCCCCACCAAAACCATTCTGGGATTCAATGGTAACATTCCTTTGATGTTCCTCTCTCTCTCTCTCTCTCCAGCTTGACCCTCTTCCGGAGAAGGTTTTCCAGCAGAGAGCAAACGCTAATGCGGTGCATTCCATGGAGAAAGTCATTGAGATCCACAGTGAGTTCAGCCCCACCGACCCAGCTGGTTCCCTGGGGGACACCCCTTGGGCTTCTCCATTATTCTGACAGCTCCATGCTGCCATTTCCCAGTTTCCTGGCGGTCACTGCTCCCTGGACTGGGTTTTTGTGCAGCCACAAACTGGTGTTACTGTGGATGGAGCCATACCCAGCAAGGCTTTAGCCCTTTAGGGGGAATTGCAGAACCAGAGCATGGGTTAGGTTGGAAAAGACCTTCATGATGATCCAGTCCAGCTGTTAACCCAGCAATAATTGAAAGCCATAAAATCTCTGTAAAGGACAGACTGTGCTGCCATTAGAGGATGCACAAAAGCAATTAAGTATCTTCTGAATAACACGAGTCTTGTTTGGTGTTGTGGCACCTATTAATTAGGCATGGAAGTGAAGGAGGCTCTCAGGCACAGGCTGGGATTCTTGGGATGTCCTGTGCAGGGCCAGGAATTGGACTCAATGATCCCTCTAGGTCCCTTCCAAGGACAGTCTATGAGTTTTTCTGGCAGTTGTTGATATTTTAGGTTTATTTAGCCAAGAAGTTTAAAATCATTGTGTTGAATCTTGCCTGGAGAAACTCTTGGAAGTTCTTTCCTCTGGAGCCTTTCCTTTGCTCTTCCCAATGCAAAAAGGTCAACTGCCGACATAAAAAATACATTGGAGGATGAAGCTTTGACTTGGTGATCTTGGAGGTCTTTTCCAACTTTAATGGCTCTAAATACCCCTTGGACTTCTTTAGTCTTCGGGGATCTGCCTGCTGAAAGCACATGGCAGTCAGCAGCTGGGTCCAGACCTGAACTGCATCCTTCCCTCTCCTGCATTTTTTGGTAGGGAGACATTTCCAAGCACATTTTTCCTTAAGTCTAGAAGTTTCTGAGGGATTTGAAGTAGAAAAGGAATTATTTGAGGACCTAAGGCCCTTAAAGTGAGAGGGTGTATCAGATGAGCGTTCCCTGGGCAGTTCCAAGCTGGTGGCCGGATTTGGGAAAGCAGGAGCTGGAATGGTGCCCTGATGGCCTTGTTGTCACCTCTCCCCCAGGCAAATACTGGCATTCCCTCCAGCGTTTCGCCTCCACGGTGGGATATTCCCTGGTGGAGGCCCAGAAGTGTGAGAATGAGGAGGCGGAGACGGTGACGGCCATGGCATCACTGTCAGTGGGCGTGAAGCCGGCGGAGAAGAGGTCAGTGATCTCCCATTTCCAGGTCTGCGCAGGCAGGAGGACCTGCCTTCCAGGTTAATCCTCTCTTTCAGCCGCTGCTGCTGCGTTCCCCACATCCGCTGTCCCCCGTGGGTTCCCGAAAGACCTCCTGGGCTGCAGGGGAGCAACAGAGCCATGAGCTCTATGTGTGCACCCTGTGCTTGAGTATTCTGCTCTGAGCATGGTTTTGGACCATGAAAAGGGATTTATTTTGCTGGGGAAAATGTTAATGTTGCCCAAGTGAGATTGTCCAAAAGCCCTTCCTGATGGCGAGTTCAGTTCCAGGTGATCCCTGCTGGCTGGGTGGGAAGGTGATGGGAACATAAGGAGTGAGACTTGGCACCACGAATTGCCCAACTATGTCACACCCAACCCTCTTTTCATTCTCTCCTCCCTCTCCCACCCTGCCTGGCTGTGGATCCTCAGACCTGAGGACGAACCCATGGAAGAGGAGCCTCCACTGTAGCACCCACCTTCGAGCTGGAGTTCTCCTGTCTGTTCGTCTTCGTCTTGAAGCTCTGCCAAGAAGCTTTCTCTTGTTACTCCTGCGTCCTGTCACGGTTATTTCCCGAACACGGAAGGACAGCCAGGTGTAAAGCAAAGCAAGCGACACAAAAAAACAAATCTCTCCGCATCTTTGAGTCTCTTTTTGCCGAAAAAGAACCGCTGGTGAAGAGCAGCAAAGGACTGACACGTTGGGCACTCTTCCTCTGGTCCTCACCGGGAGCGGAAAGAGGAATGATGCCTGGAAGTCTTTGGCAGAGTTGCCAAACAAAAAATAAACAAAAACAAAACACGAGAATAATAAAGAAGTCAAAGATTCAACAACACAAATGAAACAAACCTTAACATAAAACTGGTGCTTACAAAGTTGATTACCCACAACTGAGCAATCTCCGCTTGAACCACTCAACCCATCGTGTACTTTCATTTCTTGGATATTTGGAAATGGCTCTTGCCTGCCTGTGAGTCAACGACAGCTCTTGTCGGAACGGGAACGTTGGGAGATGATGGTGAATTTTTAACGGGGAGGGACAGGGAACGAGGGACTCATCTGACACCTAAAGAAAAGGGAAGCAGAAGGGGGGGAACGGTAGCCCAGATGGAGTCGGCTTTATTGTCTCCAAAGCCATCTGAAGATGAGTTTGTGCCTTTTTTTTTAATTGATGGATTTGGTGCAGCTGGATTTTTCTGAAGTTTGAGGAACAATGCCTTAAGTAAAAATTAATTAAAAAAAAAAAACACAAAAAAAAAAAACAAAAACAAAACACAAAGAACACAGCAGTTCCTGAATATTTTTCCTCTGGTTGGGAAAGCCAAGGACTGCCATCAGGAAGGAAGACTTTTTGGCTTGTGCTGGCATGATGGTGGGAAGCAGGCATCAGCTGAACAGAGCGTCTCCAAAAACTGTCGACAAGTTTGGATTTGTTTTGTTTTCTTTCATTGCTGTTTCAGAGATAAAAAAAAAGGAAAAAAGAAAAAAAAAAAGGAAAAAAAATTAAGGTAGTTGCCAAAAAAGTGGCAAATACTGTTGGGTCTTTGAAATTCAACCATTTTTAACAACCAATTTTCAGATGTTTTCTCTCTCTTCTACATTATCTAGTAATTGAACTTACCAATTTGGTTGTCGAAGCATGTATTAGACACAAATGCAGGTTTTAAGACTGGAATGCTTTTTATTAAAAGCAACTAGCATGAGATATTGCTTAAATTGTTAGGTATAAATATATATATGTGTATAATGTATATTCCAAATGTATTCCAAGCTTAGAAACCGGATTCCTATGAATTATTGAGAAAAATATTTATGATGCATTTATAGAAAAAAGAAAAAAAAATATATGTAATAAATGCATACTCTAACAGTAGCCATTGGAAGCTCCCTAGGGACAGATTTGGGAATTGGAACGCCAAAGGTGCTTTTGGAGAAGGATCCAGGTTGAAACTTGAGGACTTTTCAGGTGACAGGTTGGAAGTTTTTCAGAAAGCCAACACTTTAGCCACTGGGCAACTACCCTAAACATTTGTATTTTAATTTAAGGTTTTTAGTTGTGATCCTTTTCTAACAAAAATGAGAAAAAAAAAGAGTTTTTTATAGCAAAGATGCTGAATTTGCTGTTAATTTTTATATGGATATTTCCTGAAACCCTCCAGAAGCCTTGTTTGTGTGACTCTGACATTTCTTTTCCATTTGGCAGGTTTCCTTTCCAAACGGCAATAGCATCTAAACCTTTCTTCCTCCTCCTTCTTTTCTTGCTTGTAATACATGAATTTTCCTTTTTTTTTTTTTTGTTTTTTTTTTTATTTTTTAAAAATTTATTTATTTTCTGTATTGTTTTCTCTCCTTTTCCTCAACTCTTTTGTACAGTGAGCAGCTTTCTGCAGGTGTAAGGAACTGTGGGCAGACCGACAGAGTTTGTTTTTTTCTGGGAAAGGGCGCTTTTTACCGAGGAGGAGGAGGAGGAGGATGAGGGACTGCAATGGGCTCTTTTGCTGTACCAATTCTGCCGACTGTACATTTCCTCAGCTCTCTTGTAGTAGCTATGTAAAGAAAATAAGGAATTTTCTTACCTGGTAGCGTTCAGTGGGCGATGCCTTTGTCTGGCCCACGGCTCCTGGCACTGCCTGCCCTTGGGAAGGCTCCTTGGACACTCCGGGACCGTTGGCGTTTTCTCTCCACCGGACATGCCCGCCAACTCCCCACCTCCTCTCTCCTTCTTTTTCTCCCCTCTTCTTCTTCTTCTTCTGCTTCTTCTTCTTCCTGGTGCTGGGAGAGGTTTTGGAGGCATTTTCTTTTCGCCCCCTGCCCCGAGGAGGTCACTGCCTCCCGGGAATGCCGGGTGGGAGAGGCCGCGAGCCCTTCCATGGAGAGCGGGAGCATCTTCGCGGAGACGGCGCTCCCTGCGTGCCTTCTTCCAGCAGTGTAAGACAGCATATCCATCTTCCCAGCACAGCTTCTCCTTAACCACCCTTCCTTCTTTTATCCGGTTCCCACGGTGACTGGTGGGGTTGTTTCCAGTAACTTCTCTTCTTTCCAGTTCTCGAAGCAGCTGCTTTCGTTCCGTTCAGGACTCGCTCGTGGGAGGAATTGGGAGCGTGACCCCACACTGGAGGCTTTTGTTTCCTTCCTCAATTTCTAGCGCTGTTTCAAAACCAGACACTACAGTATTTGAGTTGTGCAAACCCAAGTACACCCTAAAACCCCAAAAAGCCCCGGTGGTGGCAAGGCCCAACCTCGGCATATCCTAAAAACCCCCCCTTATGGGAGCATCGCATACTTGGGGATGTTGTGGTTTGGGGTTTTCTTCCATCCAACCACTCTGCTGCTGTGATCTCAGATCCATCCGGCTGCCGAATTTGGTGACTGACCTGGGGTTTTGCTCCCTGTGCCGTGGGCGGTGCCCGTGTTTACAGCTCCCTTTGTGTTGTCAGGTCTTCCCTGGAAGGTTTTTGACATTTCTCCTCCTGGTCGTAGCAAAGCTTTTTCCTTCCTTCCTTTTTGCGTTCCTGGGAGCCGCTGGCCAACTGTTCTGAGCTGGTTCCTTTGGAAAATCCAGAGGAGCTTGTTGGGATTCCCCTTCCCCTTCCCTTCCCCTCAGCTTTTTGCCAGGACAGGGAGATTTTTCCCGAGACAACAGAGCGTCTCATCCAAACTCCTGGCAACATGGATTTGTTTCACAGCATCCCCCTTTCCCCTGGGAACACTCTTCCCCGGGCTATGACCTTCCCTGGGGATGCTTTTCCCTGGGGATGCTTTCCAGGGCTGGTGCAGGCACGGAGAGAGGGGAGGGAGCCCTCGTTTTGAGGCTCTCCAGGGGGATTTTTACCTTTTTGAGCCATTAAGCTTCATTTCAGATGACTTTGCCACGGGGCTGCCGTGCCAGCGGGGTGGGAGCCCGGGATGCTCCCACATCCCAGCACGTGCTGCCCAGGGCATCCTTTGTACCTGCTTGGGAAGAAAAGGAACATCTTTCAATCCTCTTTACAGTGAAGTGAGGCCCAGTTTGCAGTACACACGTAACCATTGGGGGGTTTTTTGTTGGTGTTTTTTTTTTTTTGTTCTTTTGTTGTTTTGTTTTGGGTTTTTTTTTTACCTTCGATACAAAACATTCCTTTTTTTTATTAGTCACGGTCATGTATTCATTCCATTCTTCCTTTTGTAAACTTTTTTGGGCCCACATTCTTTTAAGGGCATTGATATATATATAAATATATATATAAATATATATGAATATATTTTTTTAAGTTTCCTACACCTTGAGGTTGCATGGTCTGTAAGGTTGGCATGTCTTTATATTGTATACAGATTTTGCACGCCAAACTTGGCAGCTTTGAAAATGATAACGAGAAAAAAAACCACAAAAACAAACAAAAAAAAAAAGAGGTGGTTTGGGGTTTCTTTGGGTTGGTTTTTGTTTTGTTTTGTTTTGTTTTTCTATTGGTTTGGGTTTTTTTTTTCCTCTCGTGGCATTTGCGGAGAATAAAGGTTAGGATGTTGTTGTCACACTCACTCACTCACCCACACAGCTACACACCAAGGAAGGAGAGTGGGAATTTTTTTTCTCTTTGTTTTTGGAGTCTTACTGAACTTAATAAGAAGAAATTGTGCTTTTTATTGTTAAAAAGAGTAAATAAATAAAAAACAAAAAGGACTACTTAAACATTTCTCATTTTAAGAAGAAAAGAAAAAAAACTAAGACGTTTATCTAGCACTTGTGACTTACCAATAATAAGAGTTTATTGTATTTATGTGGAAACAGTGTTTTTAGGGAAACTACGCCGAACACACCAAGTAAACTGCCTGTGTCATTATTATTATTATTGTTATTGTTATTATTTTCCTTTGGGTTGGTGTTTTTGCTTTGGTTTCTCAAAGGCTGGGTGGGGAGGTTGGATGCAACCCTTGTGTCAACACACGGAGTCGTTCATTCCGAGGAGCTGGACGGATGGATGGATGGATGAGGAGGACTTTAAAGAGTTAACTCTTCGGCACAGCTGCGTTAACTTTTTTAAGAAATTACTTTTACATGATGTATTATTGCTCGGTTTCACTTTAAGCAGTCGTGTACTGTGCAACACTGTGGTTTAAAAACGAGACTTTACAGCGAAAGGCAAAACGTGTTTCTTCATTGTCATGAAGTTGGGCTCGTTCTCAGCTCATCTTCACTTTGTCTTTGATATTGATGATGAAAAAAAAAAAGTATCCTATTGAAAGAAAATAAATTAACACTTTTTCTGTGCTCCATAGTGGAGGCGCTATTTTCCAATTTATGAGGATGACAAACTTATATATATAATATATATATAAAAGTGGGGGTGGGGAGGGGGGAAGGGGTTGAAACATTATTCACCCGAGAGCTTATTACAGATATGTAGTATCAAAAAGTTGTAACTATATTATATTCTACTTTATACCTATACATGCTCAGTATGACGTCACCATTGGTAGCAGCTACCGGTTTATGCTGTAATTTAGACACAATTTCACTCTTCTTGTACGGACCCTACTTTCAGTGATGGTAGCATTCTTTGTGCTCGATTTTCCAATGGTCCTTTCTTTTAAATTGGTGGAGTTGGAATATTTTTCTCATTCTTGTTTTTTCTTTCTTTCTATTTTATTTTATTTTTCTCTTTTATCTTTGTTTTCTTCTTTTTTTTTTTTTTTTTTTTTTTTTTTTTTTTTTTTTTTTTTTTTTTACTGGCCAATGGTGTCTTTCTCTGACAGTACCGACTTCAATTTCAACTTTATTAGGAGTCCAGTATTTTGTACCACATTATG